TATATATATATATATATATATATATATATATATATATATATATATATATATATGTAATATCGTTATAAATTAAAACTACCGTCTTATATACTAATTGTAGAAATCGAACGATTCAGTGTAGAACATTACTCTCATTTGTAGACTACTTCTAGGCAGCATGTTCCGCTCCTTAATTATGTATTTAACATAAGAACATTCATAAGGATATATTTACAATATTACATATTTGTATAAAAAGAAGAGTGGCCCTACATTCATGTAATAGGCACTACTCTCTAAAAAATCAGAATATTTATAAGAATATCGAAATTTCTTCTCTTTATGTCCAGATATTCAAGATGACTCTCTCGCTCACACATGATACGATCTCTTTGTCTATAAATGAATTGTCAATAGAACAAATCGCAGTCTAGTATCGCTCAAATTGCACTGAGAGTCATCATTCATTCACACAAACGTACTAGTCCTTGCACGCACACTATGCGCGCTATGTAATATATACATGTTTTATATATTGGATATCTGACAATTTATTATATATACAGGATATATATATATATATATATGTATATTTGACAATATTATTGACATACTCGTTGTATACAGGTAGGAGTCATCAAACTGAACAAAGTTCTTCTACCATTTCGCAAACAATCATTAAAATTTTGAGTTATTAATTAAAAAAGATTGGTAAATGATCACGCGCGATACGATAGATAATGGCAACGTCTGTCATTGTATATTTGTGCACTAAATCAGACTGAAAAAAATTTCTACCATACGCAACTGACCACGGAGATTTTTACTTATTAAGTAAAATTTGTAGACGATTGAGCGATTAGTGGACAATCTGAATGTATTAATCTTCTTTAATTAATAACTCAATATTTTACTGACTGTTTGCGAGATAATAAAAGAATTTTATATTCAGTTTGACGAGTTCTGCACACGAGTGTCTCAATAATTGTGATTATCAATTGTCAGATATATATATATTATATTATATATATATATATATATACTCTGTAAATATGCAATAAATTATAAATATATACATATATATTACATCGCGCTTCACAAAAAGATCAAATCGCACAAGCCTCATATTATGGCATTCCTACAGAATATCTCCATTTTATTGATCATACGTGAATATTCGAATCTCTGCTAAGGTTGCCAAGCTGAGCCTCGAATAAAATATCATTCAGCAACTTCTCAGCTATTATTCTTTGGTCCAAGCGCATGTTCCTGAGCTTCGCGGCGACATTCCGGCCGATCGCATCGTACTCGTCCTCCATTACGATCGTATTGTGAGCCGTGACGCGCAGCTGATCAATGACTTCCGGACTTTCCTCGGAAGTATGTCGGAGACTCTTCGAATTGAACGTCGTGTCGTTCCAAATTGTCGGATGCTCGTAAGAATCTTCCTTATTACTCACGCCTTCCTCCTGGAAAAAAAGAAGAATCCGTTACATTGAGTTTTCGTCGATTTCAAATCGAGTTAACGGAATTACGAGCGGCAAAAAAGCATACTAACGTCTACAGCTTTTTCAAATTTGTAGCGCTTCCCACGTGTTTCAACGGGCTTTTCATTTAACGACGCGTCGATGAAGAGCGTCGCGGGCTTTCTCTGATTAGACTTACTCTTGATTCTTTCAGCCAGAAATGGATGCACACGCTGTAAGAGAAATGACAGTTGATAAATAAAAAAGTAACAGAGACCACACATTTGGGCATACTTTCACAATCTGATATTTTAGATTTTCACAGTGTGATGAAACACTTGATCTGATTTCTGAGTCGGTGCTGGTGTTTTTTGTGGGTTTGTTCTCAAAAGGCAAATTACAATTTTATAAAATTATATATATATATATATATATATTTACAAATAAATATATCCAAATATTTTTACATATATAAAATTCTATAGAATTGTAGCTTACCCTTTGAAGACAAATCGATAAAGAACGCAGCACCAACCTAGAAGCTAGATCAAACATACTTTCATACAATTTACCTTTATGTGACTAAGGAAGTTGCCTGTGGACTTGAGGTTTCCATTTAAGTGTCTCTTACATTGGGAACAACGGACTGTGACATTGCTGTCTTCCAGTTTGGTCACTGTGAAATACTCTCCATCCAGTATAGCGGGTAATCTGACTGGAGTAAGAACTTTATTGTGTAGAGTGTTGGACTGATTCTGTTGTATTATCTGAGATTGTTCCATTTGCTGCTGCTTATCGTCCTCTTGTGTCTGTACTTGTCCTGCCTGTGACTGATTGTTCACAGACGGAGAGACGTTACATTGTTGATTCCCAGAAACCATCATGCATGAGTCAAAGTTCTGCGTTGAATAGCTGTCCATTGTAATGCAAATTTGCTTTCACTCCAGCGAGCAAGTAGTACAGACCGAATTTTACATGGAACTTTGCTTGAATTCCAGGCGGGGAACACTTAGAGCAATTGAAACACGAATAAATGTTCTTGCTGCACCCGATAGCAGTCAAACAAAATATTATTTATCTTGGATTCTTATTGAATTTTAGATAAGAATCGCCAGATAAGAATATCACGCAACGCGAATCTAGATCAGATAATAGATGAGAGCGTGTGCGCTGCTGATTAAAAATAACACTCTCGCCGTTAGTTTACCAACTTCATTGATCGTAATCTATCTAACCTAACTAACCTAACCTAACTAAAATTGGGCGCGTTCACTAGAAAAAGCGCTCTCTCTCTCTCTATGATTCCACACATGGGCTTATACTCAGTGGCCCTTTTACCACAGCATGAAGGAAGACTATTAAGAAGGAATTTATAGGTTTTGATTTGTTTCTTTTAGAAAAGATAGAAGGGGATTGGTAAAGGTAAAGTTATTGGAGAAAATTGCAGCCTTTAGGTCTTGAAGATTTTGTATGTTAATGTTGTAAAAGTTGTATATAAGTTTGCCTATCTAGCTTGGTTAAGGGGACATTTAAATATGATGTGTTCTAAATCCTGACATACAGCACCACATCCACAGTTTGCAAATAGTTTGATATTCACTTTGGGTGCTTTCCAATTGTTTAACACATCTTGACACACACGTATACAAAACCAGTTTATTGGTCATATATTATTTAAAATATCTTGTAAGATAATATACAATCAATAAACTGGTTTTGTGTAACACAGTGTATGCAACTGGAAAGCACTCTTTATGGCTGCGTTCCGAAATTCACTGCCAATACTGAAATTCTATAATATACATGACATAAACTATAGATTTTCAGTACTGGCAGTGCATTTCGGAACGCAGCCTATGTAGGTGTTGTCCAGTAATTATGGGTGCTTTCCAATTGCTTAACCATCCTGACACACACGTACACAAAACCAGTTTATTGGTCACATATTATCTAAAATATCTTGTAAGATAATATGCAACTAATAAATTGGTTTTGTGTAACACAGTACGCAACTGGAAAACACCCTATATGTCCCGATCTCAGGCGAGCGATTAGAGTGATCTGTGCTCTAGTTGTATATTTGAAAGCTTGGTGTAGGAACCAGGGTTTATCTGATAACCTCTTAATAGAATTCCAATAAACATAGACTGAATAACCCAGAGTGAGTTAACTCAGAACCAGTCAAACATGCCATAAGATTATTTAATAGAAAGTTACTATTTAGTATGCGTTAGAGATATTCGTATGTACTTGACCGAAAAAAAACTCCGATTGGAAAACTATTCTTTTAAATCGTTTGTATTTCGTATGAAGAGTTTTGAAATGCAATTGAAAAGATTTGTGAGTTATTCTATTACTTGTATTTATTGTTCTTTTTCACCCCCCCTCAAAACTAACCTAACCCAATCTATCGTCACATTAACCGTCAGTCATTGTTTATTAAAGTGTTCAACTTTTTTTCTTAATAATTTTTTAATAAACAATGACTAACGGCTAATGTGACGATAGCTTGGGTAAGGTTAGTTTTGAGTGGGAGTGTGGGGGACGCAACCCCCCGCTAGTCGTTCGATATTGCAGTTACATAATGTGATTAAAAGATCAGTAACTTGTTTAAATTGTGGGAAAGCAGCAACGTTCGACAAGTGAAAAAAAATAAAAAAAAAAGTTAAAACAATATATAACTTGCATATTTTTCGGAATCCCCCGATTGATTATCAATATTGGAATCAAAATAAATATTTTTACCAAAAGAGCTGCAAAAAGATATCAAAATTCGAAAAAGGCCTTATTGTACATAAGTACCCGAAAAAGAACCAGGAATATTGAAATACTAGATACTACACCGATCGTGCCTGACGGTACTTCCACAACAGCGCTTGAAATCGATATTTCGGCCAAATATATGATTTGTTAATATTTAATTAAAATTATTTGGATAACTCACAAACCTTTTTAATGATACTTCATAACTCTTCATACGAAATACAAACGATACCATACTGAACCTTTGTTTAATTTACCTCCGGTCATTATTTCCGGCTAAATACATGGTCCAAAAAAGAACAATTAATTACAAGTAATAGAATGACTCACAAATCTTTTCAATTGCACTTTAAAACTCTTCATACGAAATACAAACGATTTAAAAGAATAGTTTTCCAACCGGAGTTCTTTTTCCGGTCAAGTACATACAAATGTTAGAAATGCCCGATTCTGAATCGATTCGATTCTTTCCCCAAAAATAGGCTTATTCGTGTTGTTTGCACTTTTCGCACTTTAAAACTAGACAGAAGTATATTGGAATATTTCGAAGAAGCAAAAACGAGACAACCAACTAGATTGTTTTCTTCCAAGCGTCTGATTAGGCGTCCATCTCTTTTTAAAAGCGAAAAGTATGAAACATGCAAGCAGCACGAACAACCCTTTTTCCCTAAATTTGTTAGGGAAAGAATCGAATCGATTAATGGCTCCTGCACACAAAACGCGATAATGCTTGCCGCGCGGCGGAAGTTCGCGCGACAGCCAATCAATATGCTGCTTTCCGTAATAACCTTCTAGCTCTTACGGAAAAACAACATATTGATTGGCTGTCGCGTGGTCTTCCGCCGCGCGGCAAGCATTACAGCGTCCTGTGTGCAGGAGCCATTAGTAATGTATGATTAATTTTGGGCATTTCACTACACATTACGTCAGTACGTGTGATTATCATATTCCGTCATCATGCGTAATAGTACATCTTTATATTTACATTATGGTTGATATTACATGTGTTGTACGATAAGCTTTGGATACGTTCATTGGTTGACGAACAGAGAATCTAGAAATACTCTATCTCCAACCAACAAATGTATCCGAAAAACCTGTCGTACGGCACATGTAATATCAGCCTTACGGTCATCATAAACTAGCCTTTAGTTAGCAATTTAGTATGAAGATCTGTGTTTCTATATAAGTATACATTCCTGTATTTCATGGTGCATTCTGTGCGCATGCTCGAAAAGGTGCTCATTCAACACTGTTGGCAGTCGGTCGCCAGTGTTGCGGCTAAACCGTTACTCGTATTGTGGTGTGCTAGATTGCTTTATGGCGTTACTTACACGTGTGTTTGTATTGGTTTTACTGTATTTTTTTTATTAAATCGCGAGTGTCGCGTATGATTCTGTAATGATTTCGCGGTGTTGTACACGTTTTTAATACTTCAAACAATCTCCCACTGCGTAACGCGTGTGTTCTCTATTATATATTGTATCATATATTGAATTTACGATTAATCGCGTGCCGAGCCGTCGATATGTCCGCACTTGGCGTGCAAGTAAACGAGGAAATCAAGGAAGAGCGTCACACAAGGTTTGTCTTTTCTCATTTGCGATTTTCCTCCCCCTTCTGTTCTTTCCCCCATGATGCTTATGCAGTATATTCAGTACGGTGAAAGTAATTAGATGATTCGATAAATGTGTAAAGCACGAGCTTCTCGTCGTAGACTTCGACAAAAGAGCGAACATCCGACAAGCCTTGATACGTAGAGTAAATTTATGAAACTTTAAACAATCGCTTGATAATGCAACAAAGACGATTGATTGTTGAAAGCGACGTTTTTAGGTTAGGCATCTGTTTTACCGACCGATTGTCATAGCTCACGCTCGCATCATGTTGAAAGTGGCGTGCGCGAAAATTCAATTAGCTTGAAATGTTCTAATGCAGAAAGTTCTAATACGATCTTATGCCGCTAGAAAAGAGAAAAGAACACTTTATTTTCCAGTGAATCCACAAGCTCCGATGTCAGAGACACACAGTCGGAGACTTCGTCGAAGACAAGTGAAGATGCGGACAGCAATTGTACACATAATAGAAAGCACAAGTTGTCTTCTGATCGAGAACGAGCGTCCAAGGTGGCTAGGCATGACACCGATAAGGACATATCCGCTGTGAGTTCCTATATGATGCATTATTGCTCGAGTGATGCTCAGGGATCACCGATCATCTTTCCTGTTGTAGAACGCAAGTGTTCCTTCGGATCTGACGACATCTGGGAAGAGCAAGACAGACGACGATGCTTCGGAATCAAACAAAAGCGTTGACCATACCTCTTTAGTAGCTAATCATTACAACTCACTGGAAGAAAAAGGTCTACGGCAGAGGAATCAAAGCCGAATTGTGTATATGAGAAATTTCAACAATTGGATCAAGAGCATGCTCATAAGTAATTATCAATCTCTAGTAATATATTTATTGAATAATACGAATTCTTCCTGCAAATGAACATTCAATTTGTTATATTTTATTTGATTTATCATATTAATTATTCGTATTTTTTACATTGTTTAACACTGTGTACATTTTATTCATTATTTCATTTATTATTTATCATGTATAGTGAGTTGCAAAGTGATTTTCTATTACTAAACTGGTTGTATTAATTTGCACTAGTTCTTTTTTTCCACTGAGTCTCAACTACACATACCTATTTCTTTTTAAGTTCCATAGATATACACTAGTTCAGCAATTAAAAAACAGAAAAAAACAACAATAATAATATAATTAGAATGTTAAATAAATATAATTGCTGAGCAAGCTTGTTATAATAATGACTCTCAACTTGGACAGTTTAATGAGATCCCAATTTTACTATATTTAAACTGTTTTATAACCCACTATACAGATGAATACATGGGCAAAGTAAAACAGACTAAGAACCATGGTGCCCCTTTGAGGGTATTGGACATGTGCTGCGGGAAGGGTGGCGATCTACTCAAATGGAAGAAGGCCAATATCACGCACCTGATCTGCGCGGACATAGCGGAAGTGTCCCTGGAGCAGTGTCAGCAGCGGTACAACGACATGACCAGCAGAAGTTCCAACGACCGAGGTTTCGCTCCTATTTATACCGCAGAGTTCATTACGGCAGATTGTACAAAGGTAAAAAATGCACACATGTACACCCGACTTCGGGAAGTCAGTCGCCAGATATTGCTCAGCGAGGAAATGTACTCGCCAACGGAATTTTGTTAAACAGTAGTGTTTCAGGTTCGTTTGAGGGAGAAGTATAAGGATCCTAGCATGCAGTTGGACTTCGTAAGTTGCCAATTCGCGTTTCACTACAGCTTTGAGTCCTTATCACAGGCGGAATGCATGCTGCGAAACGCTAGCGAGACCCTGAGGCCAGGGGGCTACTTCATCGGCACCATTCCGGACGCGTATGATTTAGTGTAGGTGTTCATACGGAAGTATTTCAGTCTTTATGCGGAATTATATCGATATACATATCAAATGTATATTCACGTATATTTACTTATTTATTTATTCTGCAGTTCCAGGTGGCAGAAGTGCGACGGTAATAAGTTCGGCAACGACGTATATAGCATCGACTTTTTATGCGAAAATAAAGAACAACCGCCACTTTTCGGCGCCAAGTATAATTTTCATTTGGAGGGAGTGGTCGATTGCCCGGAATTCCTGGTGCACCTGCCCACGCTGCGTAAATTGGCTCTGAAAAATGGTCTCGACTTAGTGTCATTTGAAAAGTAAGAGAAGACTATGTAATTAATATGCCCTGCAGCACATAGTTGTAGGTGTCTAAACCGTTTTACAACCCACTGTACAAACATACGACGGCAGACGTCGCCATCACAACTCATCTACCATGTTGTATATAATCATTCACTAAACTTCTTTAATTAATAATTCAAAATTTTACATGGTTGTTTGCAAAATTGTAGAGAAATCTTGTGTTCAGTTTGATAAGTTTTATCTGTACAACGCGGCTGCGTAAGGAATTATTGAACATCCCGTATATTATTATAAAAAAAGATTATGAATAGATTGTTATATTTTCGTGTACGTAATGTACTTATCAAAATTTATCTGTCCGAAGGTTTGATGTATTTTACGAACGTTTCAAGAATGAAGGCAAATCCTTACTGGGTAATATGCAAGCGTTAGAGACTTATCCGCCGTTCCACGAGGTACCGATGCTCGGCAATTTGGACCAGGATTATCAGCATGCCATTCAGTACATGCAGAACTTGCCCGATCATCGCAAAATCGGCACTCTTTCGCAGTCAGAATGGGATGTTACTTGTGAGTATAAAATGTTAGTAACAGCACTAAACGAAGTTGAAGTTTTGGACACTGCAACAACAATATCTTTTTGCAGCGTTATACGCCGTGTTCGCGTTCCGAAAGATGAAGACAGTTTGGAATAGCGAGGGGAAGCCAGAGTATGTGGCATGAAGTCTATGTAAAACTCGTCAGAACAATCATTATCAACAAAAATAAAGAGATAAATCATCATAACAAAATTAATAAAGAATATTTGTTGAGTCGATTTAACAATCAGTCGAGATGATGGAAAACACTTAATGATATATTGTCGATCGGCTGTTTTTAGCATTTTAACTTCCGTTACTAATTATGTGATAAACAATTAAGACAACAAATCTTTGTTTTGCCGCAACGACTGCCGCAAGACAGTACTGCAAGTGCAAAATGCAAATTTTTAAACAAAAATTAGTGATTTGACTTATATTTACATAATTTATACTTAAATAATTTATATTCATATTTAAGAATCTCACAAACTTTATATAAATCGATCGGAAATATTATATTTTCTTAAAATAGAACACATACGCATATGCGATATCGGCATAATTTGGCTAATAAACAGTTTTTTCGTAACAATATGTTAATATCTTTGAAAAAGTGTAATTTTCCATATTTCCGAGCTTTTTTAAAATATGCAATTGTTGGTATGTCAGAATTTTCGAATAATCAGATCTGCCCAAATCAGATATAATGCAGTCCTAATATTGTTAAATAAAATTCAATTGTCATAATTTTCAGAACTTTGATCCAAAAGAAAGTGTATCATTATTCCTATTACATTTAAAATACAGGAAAATAATGATTCTCACCACTCAGAAAAGATGTCATTACTTCAAAAATTCAGAATATTCAATAAAAGAAATTACTGTTCTATACTCATTGAAATTAGTTGTAAATCATGTAAATTTGTGAGTACCAACTTTTTTGTATATATAATGTTATATTTGTGTGAGTACAAACTTTTTTGTACATATATAATGTACATGTAATGTACATAATGTTATATCACAGAATCAGATCAAATTTAATTATTAGACATCTGCAGCACGCCAACAATCGCATATTTCAATGGGATATTTTATAAGTATATTTCAATGCTACCTGAACATATAGAAAATTGATCTTTTTAAAGATATTAACATGTTCGATGATGAAAAAAACTCGCGTTCTGCTAATTAATATATCATTGTAACAAAATGGTGATTCTACTTAATTATTTCTCTGTCAAAACAGAAATGTGAAACTGTTTCTTTCTTGTTAAATATTCTGTAATCTAAATTTCCTAAGTGACTCTATACACAATGGGAAAAGTGTACTATACACTTGATCTCTTATGTAAACCACATTATTATATTTATACATGTGTAGTATACACACGCAAAACCTTCACATATATTTACATCAGAAACATCATCTCATGCAAACGCAATAATTCCCATAAATTGCATTTAGCAAAGGGGTGATTTCGCGATGAAAATAATTCGTCTGTATTTTCAATGTAACAAGAATAAAGATACATTGTTTCGCGTCAGAGTTTTGTAAATTGTAAACTATCGAAGCTACGATTTAATCAAATCTCAATCTCGACTCGCAATCAACTTCAATATAACGTGAAGTTGAATCGATCGGAGGCAATGTCGCTTCTCAGGGACGAGGAATAAAATTGAAACGGGAAGAATAATTTCAAAATTATCGTATTCTTCTCACATTCTCGCCATTGTGATCAAGTACAATGTACGTACTTTCATTTATTGCTCAGCTACGTCGGCCATTTACTCGAAATTTCTCGACGATGAAGGCGTTCGTGATAAAAATTCCCCGTCACACAACAAAGTCCCATTTTCCTGATCCACGTGCGAAATGCCCTGCCATTACCGGTTTCCGCTGCAGCCGACCTGAAGAAATCAAGAAAATACAAGATTCCCTTGCTAGATAGAACGCGATTGATAAGTATAACGGGCGATTGAAGCCTGCATAATCGCACTCTCGTACGTTCGCGTTTTTACATTTCGTTTTACGATATAGAGACGTGCGGTGACGACAGACACAAAATCCTTGCGCGTGTTGTACGTACATTCGTTTTCAAGCGTGCAAAGGTATATTTTCTTTTAGTGTGAAAAGTGAAAAGCGAACATTTCCCAAAGAAATATTTAGAATGTCCAGATTTAATTTAAGTTAGAATCAAGTTAGGAAATTTGCACTTTCTACGAGTCCACATAAGGTAAACGTCCCAGTGATCGAACATACATGACGTCCCAATGATTAACATATTAGTTTTGTATTTTCTTTATTAAAATGCTTTTCAATATACAAAACAATATAATAAATAAAAAGAAATATTTAATTACTTTGTGATTTTGTTTCATTTATTGATAAGCATCTTAACAAATATATTATTAATTCATTATTAATAAGCATCTTAACAAACACAAATATATTATTAATAATTCAATTATCGGTACACGTTCAATTACTAGGACATTTACCTTACTAGAGGAAAAAGATTCATAAATGAGCCCTTGAACCCGAACGTGTTTTTAAATCAGCCGCGTCGAGAGAGCTGCGCGCGCAACACCGGCTGACTTCAGACGTGTGTGTAAAGTGAACGTCACGATTCACATCTCGAGTGCATTCAACGTACTACACATAGCGACAGCGCGTCTCGGGCAATCGAACTCGTGGAAACTATACCGGTTTCGATACTCCGGCGGTGAATGACTCCCGGGATCTCAGGCGCACGAATCGTCGTCTGGAATTGCTGGCGAACACGACGGAAACACTCTTCGGAGATCGAAGAGGCGGAGCGAACGAGCGCCTGCGCAGTCCTGCAATTCTGGTACTTGGATTGTGTCGCGGGGCGCTGCCGCGCGCGACCGTCGAGACAGTGAGACAGTCGCACGGTGGACGTACGCAAGTCGTGACGGTGGAGGAGGTGCAGAGCGTCGACGTACGGCGCGCACTGCTGCTGCACGGTTTGTAAAGTCTCTCTCTCTCTCGCGCGTGCGACACGTGTAAATATCCGGGGCTGAATCGCGCGCGCGTCCGCGACTTTGCCCGCGGCTACGTGAATCCCGCTAGGTGAAACGCCGCCGCTACCACTGCCTCTCGCCTGCGTTGGCCGACCAAGTCTATCAGGCCTCTCTCGTACACACACGTCTGCGTCGGGAAATGGAGCTCGAGCAGGCGGCGTCGCAGGCCATCACGGACCTGGTGAGTGATATATTCAGGGTGTACGCGGGCTCATGCATCCGCGTAGGTGCTCATTTTTGCGATTTTCGCTCGCGCGAACGCTCTCGCCTCTTGGTCGCGCTGCGGCATCGGCGACGCGAAATTTTTCTAAGTCCCAAAATGGCGTCTTGCGGCTAAGTCCTGTGCCGTGCATGGCGCGAGCGCCGAACAGCCGAGAATGCCTCCGTGGCCAGTGTGTTCACACTGAGTCGACGCGTCACTGAGATCACAAGAAACTAGAGCGTCTCTCTTTTTTCTTCTTGCACTCCTTACGAGTCCGTTCCTCATGAGCTTTGTCTGTTTCAGGATAAGCAACGATCCAAGGAGATCGACAATGCGTCCGGGAATCATAACGGTGAGTGCTTTCCTTCAGTCGCGAGCGAGACATACACCGAACGAGCATGTTGTAACTGACGATCGGACAACGACGATACGATTCGCGATTATTGCGTTGATCGTCAGCGTTCCGTGCGGCAGATCGGGAACTGCTAGAGCACGTGCTTGGATCGCGACGAAGAGCACAGGATCGTTTGTGGTCATTTCCTGGCATACAACTGGTTCCTTTTTCTTTTCGAATTCAGCACACGTAGCGAGAAAATCTCGCAAACGAGAGTTCCAGACTCCGCGAAATCGAATTTTCTAATTTCCCGATGCTTAATAAGATACGACGCGATGCCGTTTCGCATTTACTCGAACGAATACGGAACGACGTCGTGAGAATACGTCACTCATTTTCGATTCAAAGTTGTGAAAGCGCGCGCTTTTTTGAATGTCTCTTTGAGGAAGAGACCTCTTGATGTTTTTCATAGAATTGGATTCTCAAGAAGACGATAAAATACGCGGAATATTGTTTTGTTTTGTTATATCTTTGACTTTATTTTGCTGCTATGATCAAATTTTATATATATTTTACATAATTTTTACATAAATAAATAAATATATATATATATTTTTTTTATTGCGTAAAACTGTAGTGGTAAGTAAACAAATGAGACTAATATTCTAAAGTGATTTTGTTATGTACATATCAAAACTTTACCTTAAATTTACATAATTTCCATAGATACTCATATCAATGGAATGTCTAATGGTTTCGACAAGAAGAGGGAAAACAAGTCTGAGCATAGAGAAAAGGATAAAGAAAGATCTCATAAATCAGACCACAAGGATAAAGACCGAAGCAAAGATAAGGAGAGAAATCATAAAAGCGAACATAGGGATAAAGACAAAGACAGGCATAAACATAGTTCCAGTTCTATCAAGGATAAGGAGAAGCATGACAGCAGTAGCAAGGATAAGGACAAGGAGAAGAAGAGCTCCTCGTCCAGTAAAGACAAGGAGCACAAAAGCAGCAGTAGCTCCTCCAGCAAGGATAAGGACAAGAGCAAAGACAAGGAACATCATCACAAGTCAAGCTCGAGCTCTAAAGATAAAGACAAGGATAGGTAAGAAGAAGGGGAAGCAACTTGGAAGTTTATATATTGATGCATATTCAATTATTGCACTCATAAAATATGCAATTGATTCTTTTAGGCATCATAGTAGCTCCAAGGATAGCTCAAGCAAGGACAAAGATAGCTCAAAGAGCAAAGACAAAGACAGACATAGACACAGTTCCTTGAATTCTAGCTCGCGCGACAAGGATAAGGACAAAGATAGAAGTATTTCGAAAGACAAGGAGAAAGATAGAAAGCATTCGTCGGAGAAAGACAAGGAGAGACATTCCACTTCTCATTCGAGCGACAAGGAGAAGCACCGTTCGGACAAGGACAAAGACAAGCACAGCTCGTCGTCCAGCAAAGACAAGCATCGCCATGAGAAGGACAAAGACCGCCACCGGCACGATAAAGACAAATGTAAGTTGACCTATCAAGTACTTGCATATGTTTCATTTCGCTCTCTTTAATCATGCCACTTCGTTCGCAGCTAAGCATCGCGACGACAAAGAGAAGAAGGAGAAAGACGTGAAGGAGGAAATTAAAATTAAGGAGGAGCTGAAGGAAGAACCGAACGTGAAGGTAAATCACGCGATTAACGAAGGGTTGCGCATGCACTCGGAAGTAAAGCTGGAAATAAAGGAGGTAATTATCGCTCGAGGCCACTTGTTGTGCGTTTTCGCGAAGATAAGAAATGAGATATTAAAGTGAAACACGCTTCCGCAGGAACCGATGACGCAAATGGATCTAGATGACGACGATGATAGCGGTGGCGAGCAACTTTACATTAAGGAAGATGACGAGGAAGAACCGACTAAGGAGGAAGAGGCTAGTGTGGACTCGACGGATGCAAACGATACTAGACTCTCGGATCTCCATAACACCACAATTAAGACGGAAGACGATTCGGAGGAAGATAAACCATTGGTAAATATTGTTTTGGTCCTGGTGAACGGTAGTATATTATATTATGTTTTATATTATTTTATTAACACGTTCGTTATACCGGCGACACATTAGCGCAATGCATCGATTTATCAAGATCAATGCTACCTATATGTGATACATCATTATACATAAAATATTAAAGTTCTGTTTTGTCTACTAATTACATTTTATATATTTAAGGTTCCTGGTCCGGCTGCTACGGAATTTTGAATTGTTGACATCAGAAGCGAGAAAACTTATGGTAAAAGTTTTTACGTGCCATTTTCAAATAAAAAGATACTTGAACGAAAGAATACTTTAAATCGCTTGAGTATCGTAAATTATAAAATGCTCTAAAAACTATAATTTTCCCTTGACAGTCAATAAATAGTCTTAAAATTAAAATTAAAAGAAATGATTGTATATCACATTAATTTTAGAACTATTTATTGGCCATCAAGAGAAAAAGATAGTTTTTGGAGCATTTTACGGTATCTTCAAGCAATCTGAAATACTTTTTCAATTAAATATCTTATTTGAAAATGATACATAAGAATTTTTGGCGTGCGTTTCCTTTTCTGATCTCATAAATCCAAGAGTGCTATAGCAGTAAAACTAGAGGCCTTAATGTGTGCATAAACGCAAACATACTATGTGAAGTATAACTATTAAAAATATACATATGAAACATATACGGATTTTAATAAGGATTCTTAATGTAAATACTGTAGCGAACGTGTCGGTTATTAAACGCGTTGGCATTAATTTACTATTATTCGATTGAATACGCACTTAACATAGTCTGCGAGGTCTAAGGTGTCGCCAAGTGTCAAGAGAAAGAAGATCGACTCGGACGACGAGGAAGATCTGCCGTTGATGGCGCGCAAAAAGTCGAAGAAAACCAATCCGAAGGCCAAGAAGAAGAAACGAAAATATGAGGATGACGAAGAGTCCGACGAACCCGAAGAGGTATACACTATATGTGTTGCTAAGATTATGAAATCACAAGAAAACTTCCAACTATTTCACACCGAAAAATTTTTTTTCTGCTATGTATATTAAATCAAATGTTTATTGGAATGCTAAATTCCACGTTTATTGCAGAAACCAAAGAAGAAGAAGAATACGAAAGTGGCGAAAGCTGGGGAATCCCACACCCCCAGCCCAAGGAAGAAGAAGCAGGAGGAGGAGCAAGAAGTTTGGAAATGGTATGAACACAAACTTTTATACAATATCTATATAGATTGTTAACATATCTGTATATAAGCACAGTTGAGAAATTGATGGGAGGTGTAAATGTTGGTAGGCATAACAGCCATTTTAGAAAAGCACAGCTGTTTACTTCTAATTAATCAATTTTGAAGTCAAAGTTTATAACATTATGAGCTTTTTCCTTTGTTTCGTGTATACCATATGCTGTTTAAATCTTAAACTTTTTTTACACTATATATGCTTATTTTGTCTCTCTGAAATATGGCGACAGGATTTACATATGCATTATATCTGAATGTGCCTGACGACAGTCTCAGTATTACTTAGAAGTCTGTAGGTACGAATGAGCGGAACCTTGTAATATCTCTTCCAAGTGATCACGTGACTGCTCTAACCCAACCAAACCAAACCGTTGCTTGAGTTACAACCAAACCCGACCTAACCTAACTTGAACTACATTTCTTCACATTGTGCTTCCTAACCACATCGTGTATCAATTCTGTTGCGATAGAAAATGACAATAATGTACAATGAGAAATCTAGTGAAAAATGTAGTCACTCAATTTTTAACGAAACGTTCATTCAATGTTGGAAGTAACTGCGAGTACGTTCATAAAACGAGAAATATGCTTCTAAGGTTATATCTATCATATAATCACTAGTGTTCGGTTTTTATATATTTAGCGTGCACGTTTGGGTGCTTAATGTGATATTTTTTCTCAAATTTAACATTAATTGAACATTAAATGTATACTTTTTTATTTTTTTTTAGGTGGGAAGAAGAAAAGAAGAGTGATGGTACAAAGTGGCACTTCTTGCAACACAAAGGGCCAGTATTCGCCCCGCCCTATGATCCTCTGCCATCTACAGTAAAGTTTTACTACAACGGCAAGGAGATGAAATTAACCCAAGACACAGAGGAAGTCGCGACCTTCTACGCGCGCATGTTGGACCACGACTACACCACTAAGACTGCATTTAATAACAACTTCTTCAGCGACTGGCGCGACGTGATGTCCGAATCAGAACGTGCCAAAATCACCGACTTATCCAAGTGCAATTTCAAGGAGATGCACACGTATTTCTTGCAGAAGAGCGAGGAACGCAAGGCAATGACGAAGGAAGAGAAGCAGAAGATCAAGGAGCAGAACGAAGAGACCCAGAAGGAATACGGCTTCTGCACCATCGACGGCCACAAGGAGAAGATCGGTAACTTCAAGATCGAGCCGCCAGGTCTGTTTCGTGGTCGCGGCGAGCACCCGAAGATGGGCAAGTTGAAGAAACGAGTGTTGCCGGAGGATGTGTTAATTAACTGTTCGAAAGACTCCCATATACCAAAACCACCAGCTGGTCATAAGTGGAAAGAGGTGCGACACGATCCCAACGTTACCTGGCTCGCTTCCTGGACGGAGAATATTCAGGGCCAAGTGAAGTACGTGATGCTGAACCCATCCAGCAAGCTCAAGGGCGAGAAGGACTGGCAGAAGTACGAAACAGCGCGAAAACTGGCGCAGTCAATTGACAAGATTCGCTCTGAGTACCGGGAAGATTGGAAAAGTAAAGAAATGCGTATTAGACAGCGCGCCGTAGCCTTATATTTCATCGACAAATTAGCGCTTAGGGCTGGTAATGAGAAGGATGAGGATCAGGCGGACACTGTGGGCTGTTGCTCCTTGCGAGTGGAGCACATAAAGCTGCATGAACAGAAAGGTGGAAAGGACTACGTAGTTGTGTTTGACTTTTTAGGTAATAATCTACTCAAGTTTTTACATTTTAAAGAAATACTCTAGAGTTTTTTTTTATTATCATTATTAAAGAGGTTTTATATTATAAATTTACCAAATGTTCTTTGTACATCTTTTGAGATTCTTGAGATAACTTGAGATAATCTCTTCCTTGGTAAAAATTTAATTGAATGTTACTTTTTTATAGTATTTCTACTTTTAATGTTGTATATTTACATAATTAAGTCAGAAAATGTTAAAATCAACTTGAAGGAAGATAGGAAAATTTATTGTTCATGTTCTTCATGTTCTTTAAATTTCAAGTAATCTCAGTTGTATCATATCTCTATAATTTTTATAAAACTAATTAACCCACTAATTATCCCACAGGTAAAGATTCTATACGATATTACAACGAAGTGCCGGTGGAGAAGCGCGTTTTTAAGAATCTTCAACTTTTTATGGAGAACAAATCACCTGGAGACGATTTGTTCGATCGGCTCAACACTACCGTCATGAACAAACACCTGAACGAATTGATGGAGGGTCTCACCGCTAAAGTATTCAGAACTTACAACGCGTCATGGACGCTGCAACAACAATTGGACAAACTCACAGATCCCAACGACACGGAGGCGGAAAAAATCCTGTCGTATAACAGAGCTAATCGCGCTGTCGCCATACTGTGTAACCATCAACGTTCCGTGCCAAAGACTCATGCAAAGTCGATGGAAAACTTGAAGGCAAAGATAGAGGCTAAGAAAGAAACAATATCCGAGGTCGAGCTGCAAGTGAAAGATGCCAAACGGGACGCGAAGCATGGTTCGGTGAAAGAAAAAGTGTACGTTGTCGATCCATATACCATGTGGTAAAAACCCTGAACGTGTTATTTTAATTGTTTTGCGATACTTTTGCAGAGTGTACGAGAAGAAGAAGAAACAGCTGGAACGTTTAAAAGACCAATTAACAAAGCTGGAGGTTCAGGCGACCGATCGAGAAGAGAACAAAGAGATCGCGTTAGGCACCTCCAAGCTGAATTATCTCGATCCTAGAATTTCCGTTGCATGGTGAGCGTTTTATAACTTTATTATAAAACATTATTTTATTTATATTTGATTATTTGTATTTAATGGCGACACAACGCTCTTTTGCGAGACATCTTTCGTCTTCTGATAATTCTACAAATTTTCACGTTTCCACAGGTGTAAGAAGCACAACGTGCCGATCGAGAAGATATATAACAAGACTCAGAGGGACAAGTTTAGATGGGCAATAGACATGGCAGGACCTGACTACATTTTTTAACTCTGTGAGAGTTTGCTGTCGCGTACGTCATGAGAAGACGCCTCTCTTCAACAATGTATTTAGTGAATTTTACGTTTTAGAAAAGTCGGGAGACCAAACGAGAGAGAAAGAGAGAGAGAGAGAGAGATCGAGAAATAGAAAGAATGTGAGAAATTCAGAATTTTTTACACGAATGCACGATAGCGAAATATGAATGTGAGAATGCGAAAACATATTTTCTATAGGATATTCAAACGATTATTATTAATTAATCGACCAGCGACTATATATATATATATACATACATACATACATATGTGTATATATATATATGTGTATATATAAACACACATATATAGTGGTGTGCAATTAAAATTTGTCAATGCCTCGGTAGAGCCGATTACGTGCTTGGCACTTGCCATTGAGGCAAGTTTGTTTTAGCTGCAATGCCTCGCCGAATTTGTCTATACAATGTATGACGACTGTTTATCTCCCGAGCGAGTCCTGATGAACGGTGATTTGTGGGAGCGTGACAAGCAAATTTGTCGGGAGATAATTTTCGCGCGAGAGCAAAAGCTATGTGTCGTAATTTTGTTTCCTCGATTAGGTAGAAATTTATATTTACATACGTGTGTATTAGGAAAGTAACGATGAATTCGTGCGAAAAAAAAAAATATCTCGATTCTAAGACGCAGTATCAAATGGTGCGAAGAGGCGTGTATCTGATGTTCACTGCGTTATCATGTACATATAGGGGGATTCGTGAATGACACGAATACACAATTTACACTTCGATTTAAAAAGGAAAAAAAATAAAATTAACTCACCGGAGAAGGCAGCTGAATTTTGTATTCCCTTAAAAACACAAATACCATACACACAAACACACACGCAGCATACTTGTTTTTCATAAATGTATGATAATAGTGTCATTTCACATCGAGTACCATTTACATTTTACATCGTGTATGAAGACATACGTAGGGTATTACCGATATCGTGCACTTCTTTTTTTATATAAAAAAAAGAGCGGAAAAAGAAAAAACGAGAAGACAGAAAGAGGTGATTAGGCAAATTATACTATTCAGGGGTCTTATTCTAGTACATATTGAGCGCTAAATATGCCTTTCTGATTCTCAAGCTGGAACATTTCTGGCGAACCTGTCGTTCGTGTACGAATGAAATTTGGAATTAAAAAGGCATACTTAACGTTCACTATATATATCGCTAGAATAGGGCCTTGGGTCTATATTACCGTTCCCCAAAACTGAATCCGACGTAAAGCATAATCGGGACATATAAATATATTTATATATATATATTTAAGTGAATCGTCGCTTTTTTTAGCGATTTATGTTTTATAAGAATGTCTAGACGCTATAATAATAATAATAATAAACGAGAAACTGTTTGATTTCTTTTAGTGTTATTTGCACATTTCGCGCCGTGCGACCAATCGTTCGGGCTCACGTTGAAGGATATTAGCACATAACACACTCACATATACACATACATATATATATGTATACGTATATTTTACGCTCACTTGACGATAATAAGGCGTAGCATTAAGCTTCCCGTTTTCGCAGTCGAATCGAGACACATTCTGGCGTATGTGCTTTTATATATATATATATATATGTATATATATATATGTATATATATATATGTATATATATATATATATATGTATATGTGTACACACACACACACACATATATATATACATGTATGTATATGTGTATATATATATATATGTATGATGTATGTATGTATGATGTATGTATGTATGATGTATGTATGTATGTATGTGTATATATATATATACATATATATTTATATGTATATATATGTGTGTGTGTGTATATATATATATAAAATACGATATTTCTGTAGATTTCGTTGATTCCTTTGCTTTCGTTTCACACGCGTTATCAAGTAATTACATTAATTCTCCCCATAAGTGGGAACTGCTTGTATTACGGAAATTATTATTTTTATTAGCTTGTATAAGTCCGTTTGTTCTCGATCTGCTGAAAATGAGTCAGAAGCCTCGATGAGAAAGAGAAAGGGAGACATGAATATACGATTGCGCTGTCGATAGCAAATAGTGTCGACTATTTATCTCGGAGAATGTAAAATGTTCCGACGAACCTACTGTTATGTGCGCATAAAAGCATGAAATCATTACTCGTACATGTAATTATATGCGAATAAGTATAACATAGATAATCAATGAATTTGTAATGCTGAATTACATCGGATCACAGCAAGACACGTGTACGTACGATTAAAGCTTGCGCATTCTAACTTGAAAGCAAACGATCGAACGTCAGACGAACGACGACGTAATGTCGTTCATTCTTCTTGTTTCGACGCGTAACAGGAGCGAGTAAAGAACTGATACGCGAAAGTTTATCATACGATCGATATCTGTATGATAGTTGCCGAATCTGGTGATTCAGCCGACGCGATATTCAGATTCGGGTGCGCGACGATGAGTTCTTTAAGTTCATTCGCGAAATAAACGAAACGTGATATTCGGTATGTAAGGTCCTTTCCTCCCGTGTTTTGAGAGCGCATTCAATATCGAGATGCATATTATGCATTGATCGCGACTCTCGTGAGCAAAATATATGTGATCTTCGCGAAATACGTACAAAGAGACGAAACGAAATCGAATTTTTTACTCGCTGCTGTTACCACGAGGAGATCCAAGAATGTGGTTTCTGCATCGTCGACGGTCGCAGGAAGCGGAAGAAAGCAGAAGAATCGATAATTTCAGTTTTGGGGATCGCGGTAATCTCGGTGTCCCGAAAGGGTAGGAACGGGATAATTAGACTTTGAGCGGAAAGAGGTGGAACAGCCGTTCACAGCCACTCGCAATATGAGTATAATAGCAATGTAAGTGTCATGTGATGATGTGAGAAGAGAGCGAAGAAGGAAAGAAAAATATTGCGATCAGATAGAATCGCAATCGAGCGCGAGCCTTTGCGGAATCAGAGCACAGCTCCTTAGGTTTTTAACTTTTACTACAAACGACAACTCAAATGAGAGTGCAATTGATATTTAGTACAATTCCGTGCTCGCGCACACAACAGCGAGACGCAGGATTACACACGTGTATGTTTCTCAGTGATTATCACTTCGATACACATATTATTGGAATAATAAAAGATTCTTAGTGCCGGATCCTCGCACAGTGGCTTGATTTTATTTTAACACATCCAACGGAAGGCTCAGGATGTTCCTCTCTCTTCCCTTTATGCCGTTAAGAAAGCAGTGGAAGACGAAAAAGGAGAAGAAAGAAGCAATAGCAGCAGCGAAAACGGAAGATCTAATCACTCCTGTGTGCGCGTCTGACTTTGTTGATTTATTGTTATAAACGACAAAGTACAATAATACAATAGTACCATCATATTACTGCGCAGTTAGTTAGAGAAACAATATAGAAATAAATTATATAATTTAATCGAAGTGAATAGTGATGTAAATCCGTAATAAATATTAAATTGTGTATAAACTTACGAAAACGCAGTGTCCTAGATTCGCGATGCGGTGAGATTTGCGTGCGACACACGGGGCGGTCGTCGGCTCGTCCCTTTGATCGGAAACCAAGCGGTCGATTCAAGTCTTAACAATTGTTTTAACAATGTTGACGCGTTCTTCCCTCAACAGGAGTATTGAACACGAACGGTAATACGAGCTTCCTCAAAGCTGACCCCTTGATTTCCGAGTCACGAGAGACAGAGAGCGACGTTAAAGCCGTAAGAAATGAGATTTCTTGTAATAAGCGGTATCATCCCGTTCGCGTAACGAACTCGCTCGGTAGTTTGGTGATTAGTGCGAAACGATGTCTCGCGCTAATTGCACGAGTGACAGCAAAGCAGCGGTGTCGTTCCGGGATGATCCTCGCGTGTGGTGGGTCATTTTACATCGCATAGAATCGCCCGAAGTGTCAATCGGTCGCGCGATCATTTTCGGAGACTTTTATTCTTCGCACGCATTTTGAAAGTACAAATTTCTTCTCGTCGGTTCGGCCATTTTTCCGAAGTACGACGCACGCTAATTTGCCACTTTTTTGAAGGAAGAAGAAACAAAAACGATCGTGCAACCATCGACTCCGTGAGAGACGAATTCCCGTGTGTCGCGCGCTGCACGCGCGAACGTTTTCGCGTCTCTATATATAGCCCCGTATATAAAATATAAACTCTCGAAAATTTTCTCTCAGTTCTTTTTTTTCGGTTTTCCTTTTTTGGTTATTGCGTCACAGCAGAGTAAATAAATACCAAAGTGGTAGTTCCCTATTTTGAAATAGGTTTAGAGAGACTAGACTATGCTAAATCACGGTTCGATTTTTTTTCTCCTCCGCTCGTTATTTCTCGTTTCGTTATGCTCGCGAGAATTGAAGTTACCGCTTTGCGGATCGCCCCGTACTTGTAATTGTATTACAAAAAAAAAAAAAAAACGCGGAACCGTTCTCGCAACGCGTTCCACCGCGTGTTTTTCGGTGTGTATGCGTGTGTATTTATTCTCCTAAAGTATTATATATATATTAGTCTTTCATGATTAATCTTTTTTTCAAGATCGAGAATATCTAGCGTTCTCTCGATTCGATTGAATGAACGGCAAATTCATCACGTTCTCCTGCACGATACGCTTTGCAAAAGACAAACCGACAAAAGGTTCGCTTCGTAACCACCGAACGCTCGATCTTAAGATTTTCTCTTTTTCTAACGCTGCTAACTCTAGTAGTAACTATGCGTACGAAAAAAAAATTAATAGCTGTCTTTCAGTATGGTTTCCACAAATTCAATCTCCCTCTTTCTCTAACCAAGGATCAATATCGATGACTTGTTGTCTTTCCGTCGGCGAATTTGGTATTGTGGCGCGGTTCGAATCACAACGATGCATCCGGTCGAGAACGAAAAGAAGCATAAAGACAAGCGCATAAGAAAATTGACCTCCAATCGATAGACTCTAATGACTAGCGTATTTCAATTGTAAATTACATAAAGCGCGTATCGAATCTTTACATTTAGGCGTTATGTTAACGAAGTATCATTTAACATATTACGCACTTCCGGCATCTTTACGTCTCTCGTTTCCGTATTGTTAAGCGCGGACAAAATAAGAATTTTTGTCTCCTCGGAGGAACACGCCTTAGAAGAAAACGCGCCGTACAATCTCGTCATGAACGATACAATGTTATTCTTTTTCACGTTTCTTTTTCTTCTTTCTTTTTTCTCTATGAATGTCGGCGACAAAACCAACATTGGGTCTGGGAGGGAAGAAGGACATTCGTTCGCGAGGAAATCCTTCGAAGGAGGCGAAAATTCGGATCTCGGCTCTCTTCACTCGGGATCGGTCTCCGCTTCGCCAATTGGCAATATCGCGACGGGACCAGCGGCTGCTAATTTGGCTTTATACGCTTCCGGTTCGAACCAGCGAATCGGTGCCTGTTTCAGAGAAAAATGAAAAACGATTAGTTTCCGACGAGTAACCACGGCGCACGAATCGTTGAGAGAGCGGCATGTACAATGTCCCTTACCTTATGCCTCGTTATGTTACAAGCAGCATGCTTCGGTGTTGGGAAGCCGTGTGTGTTAAATATTGCTCACGTTTGGGCGCATGCAGGCGATAAATAGTAAGTTTTTTCACTACACATTCATCGAGCCTGGTTTGCTTCTTTTGGCGAACGAGCGAGCGGAGAGCAACAGACTCGGATGGATTTCGCAGTACGATTTATTATTAATACAGTGTGTATGTGAATTTGATACACAACACTAAGTCTTATGTCCTCGTTAATCTCCTGCAGGGAGAACCTCCTATAGGAGCTCCTAACGGAGCCACGTGGAGTTCCGTTTTCACCCCTTTCTTTTATTTTATCTTTTGTTCTTTCTTCTTTTCAAATCATTCTTAACGTCCTTAACGTTAAATGCAATAACATAATTATTCGGAAAGAGAAACATATACAGAGACGTAACGTAAAGTAAAACTCTCTTACAATAATATGAACAAATAATATAATGTAACAAAATAATAAGTATAGAAAAAAACATTAAAAACTTGTAGTTGTAAAATATAGGAACATAACGTGCACGCAAAGCTACTTTCGAGGAACGACGATTCGTCTGGTCGATTTACGACAGTCGACTCGATAGTTCATTTAACGCTGAGTAACAAAGAGTAAATATAATATGTAAACAGCAACTATCTAATAATATTGCGTAACTCGCACAACGAGCCAATTGCAATCTCGCTTGTATCCATCGAGCGAAAAGAAATTCGAAATTTCTCCCTTAAGTCGCATCCACGTATGAAATGAAGTTCGATCAGTCACGTTTATAATACTTAAAGTGTACGCACGAAATAAGTATAAATTAATAAAAAAAAAAAAGAAACAAAAATAGAAAAAGAAAGAATACTATGAAGAATACTTATATTCACGTTTACACGAGACTCGCTTACAATCTTTGGTCTTGAGTTGAGAATTCTTACAAAATCATTATTTCTACCGTTGCAAAAGATTTCTAGTTACAAGTTCGTAATCTTCTAAAACTCCGTTAGTACGAAACGCGAAATAATATCGAGATTCATGCGTTCTAATCACCGTAAAATCTGCTCTCGAGCAGAATTGGGAATACTGAGAACTACTAATATTTTCAAGGCCTCGAGCTGTAGCTGTGTCTCTCTTCGAGTTCAAAGATTCATTTGATATTTTAAAAAGAAACTCTTACACGCACACACGCACGCGCGGGCAGTAAGCAAAATGTTAACAATATGCTCAACCGTTTAGCATAATTAAGTTCATGTCCTGTCAACAGAACATATGAAGAATCCCATTAAAGTGGAAATCAAACTGATCTGTTATTGTTAATCTGCCAATGAATCTTGTTAGATTTATATCAGTATCGCATAATTATCTAAAAAATGATAACGACAAATAAATACGTAAAGACCAGATTACGCGTTTTTTATGACAATTATTAGTCACATAATTGAAGTAGAAAAGTTGAAAGAAAGCGATTACGTTAATTAATTAATTAATAATTAATTGTAATAGCTGATAACGCAATATTCGACGAAAATTGTGTGAGCTGTCAATCAATACGACAAGCGAAGAGACAGAACTACTTCTCGAATTTGCTTCTTCTCCCCCACCTCTTTCTGTATATGTATGAATTCTCTATACGAGAATACTATACCTAAAGGATGGGTTTGTTTTTAGTATTAGTAGGATTCTGCGATCAGAAACGAAACGGATCTCGCCTTCGCCCTAGCGTCTAAACGTGCGGTTAAGAAACACCATGACAGTAATCACATTCTTATCACCACCATCCGTTCATCACTGTAACCAACGCGCGGAACGTTTTACAGTGAGTATTATTATTGCGTTATTGATACGTGAGTGTCACAGAGAAAGAAAGAAAAAGAGAGTATTAAATCACGGCGTTGCAGGGAAGATTAACACGGAAGGTGTTGCACGATATGTGATTAGCGTTCCTGTCGCATAGCGGTACCTTACGAACTATATTGGGACATTCCTTTTGTATGCGCGCCCAATCCGCGGGGGGCCGTTTCGCGTAGGGGCCCGTGGCGCACAGCAACAAAAACTCGTACGTAAGTTCTCTTGCTTCTGGAACTGCGATACACAAATTATTCCAGTAACTGAACGTGATCAGAGGGAAAACAGATATAATACACTTGGAAAATTATTTTTGAGTAAGATACCGAGTTCTCGAGATAATAAAGACGCGAATCAAAATTACTTCGCGCAATTTGATCGTTATTTCAGATATCAACAGAAACGCTAAAGTACAATCCACCCCGACTGATCTTCAAGGGATTAAATGCAATATAATCCGAGTTTCTTTGTCTACCTTGTTGAGTCGAACACAGCTCCTCGGAGATCGGACGAGGCTTGTACGTTTCTTCGCTCTCCGAAGTCGCGGTACTATCCACACTCAATTCTCGGCCTAATGCGTTCACGTTGACCGTCGCCAACGGCGTACGGTGAACATTGGGAGTAGAGGAAGTTACGGCAAAGTTAGGCTCGTCCTCGTAATTGAAGTACTCTATACCGCTGGTAAAATTGTCACATTCGCCAAGAAAATGTTCGTCCAACACCAGTTTCGCCGTCTGTAAAATATATTAAACCATTACATATATAGTTGCGTGAAAATTATATGTAAAAAAATAAATAAAGCATAAGCAGAGAGACCACCGAATACTACATATATACTTATTCTTAATTAAAGTAATTACTAATAAATAAATGTAGTAAATTATAAAATAAGTAGAATGTAAAAAAATAAAACTAATCGAAAGAAATTTACCTTGTCATTACAGATTTGATAGGATTTAAACAAGAGCAGCGTGTTAAAGATACATGAAAGCAAATTTGTGATATAGATTATATATAAAGAACCCATTACCCTGACGAGGTCGAGATTGCAGCCAGTAATTTTGAGAGACTGGTTACCGACGGTAACCGTGTACTTGTATTCGCCTATACTGGCGTCGTTGGTGGAGAAGCTGTGGAGGAGAGATGAACGCAGACGAGAATTCTGCTGTTGGTTGTGCTGCAGCCTGTTGCTTTCGTCGGACGCGCTGCTGTTCAGCGAGGAACTAGAACCACCCATGGCTCCCTTCTCGCCGCCGCTCTGCTCCAGTCTCACTGGCGATGCATTTCGTTGTATCGTATCTTTGATTAAGTCCTTCGCGTAACTGACATAGGAAAGCAAACAGAGAAGAAGATATATGTATTAGACAGGCGTCTGGAGCAATTGACGTTAATATGATGTACGAATAAATCTACGAGGAAATAAATCTATTGAAACGTACTGTATCTTGTCCTCGGACGTTCCCGTGATTTGGACAAGTCGTTCTTTAGCTCCAGGGTTTACTACAAAGTAGATATACTATATCAGTGATGGTCTTTCTCACTACATACGGCAATCGTAAGATCGCGTGACAGTCATCGTTAAGTCCCTTCACACAAGTCTAATGGTACGGTTAATGTGTTAAAAGATACACGTGTGATATTGAGTGTTGTTACGTGTAAGAGACATCACCAAGCAAGATAAGTAACAAGAGATACGTCTTTATAGATTCTCGTAACACTCAAGAAAATGCCTCGGCTCTGCGTGTGTTATATGGTGAACAAAAATGCATCAAAGTATTAATCAGATTGCCAACCTTCCATTTCACGGGGAGTGCGATCGATCGACCTGTTGCGTGTCACAAAATGTAATCTAAACGATATATTCAATCTTATTCCCGGCTCTTATATACACAAAGCTGCAAATTGCAACGCACAGCACTCACACGCTCACGCTGGGCTCGTCGGGCTATCGAAGAGATACACATTCCCATACAGATCGTAAAAAACAACCGTACAATCGCACGAGATCACGCGACACGATCTCTTAGTCCCATCGAAAGAAAGCCAACGTGCTTCGCACTTCTCGATTAGGAGTGGATTTGTCACGGCCGGAGAAACACTAAGGCCAAACTCTCAGGGGCGATTCAATCACGCCGGTTAGATCGTAGACAGTATCGTCATGCAAGTTAAAAGTGGCAAAACGCAAAGAAAGTGGCTATGACATTTGATTACGAAACATGTGCGCTCGCATGTGTGATTTGCTTTGCTGGAATAATACTCGACGTATGAATCTATCCGAGGATTCTGTGCTTTTTGATTATGCCTTGAATTGTAGATGCTCCTCGAGCGACGTAAGCGAGGTATTAGAGAGGTATCTTTGGAGCAACGCTGGGTACTCTGTTCTCCGGTCGGAATATTAATATCGTTCTTGCGATGCATGAGCACACAATGCTGAGACAAGCCATTGGCGGATCATTTTGCTTTACCTCGCTGGAAGGAGATGATCGTCTGGCTGAGCTCCTCTATCATGTGAACCCGCCGCCCTTTTATTCCCATCACTGTATTTTCGTGCAAATCATTTTAACAGCGAAAACAACGGACAATCGTCGAAGTCATGAAAAAGAGTGTATAACTGCCGATTCAATTAACGCAATCGTGCGTTAGTAAATGAGATTTAGGCCCTTATTCTAATCGACACGATAACTTCGACCATAAATAATTTGCAAATCGTTCGCAAATGAAAAGATAGTCGGGAGATTGGTCGTCGCGTGTAATGATAACGTATACACAGTTTTGTACAATAAAATTTTGACGAGGGCGCGATTTAGCAGCGATTAATTTAAATTACCTTTTCCCGAGTCGCTATTGCGAATAACGACTTCGTCTTTGCAATAGTTCTTCCCCGGTATGCGCGTGGGCTTCGCGAATTTCCCGCTATTCTTGATCACTTCGCCGGGCCCCAGGATCGGTGCTGAGGTGGGCGAGGTCATTGCCAATAACGGTGACGACAGGGAATTCGTGGGCGTGTCGGGTACCGTCTCGGTCTGTTAGTGAAAAGCACATCGCTCGTGAGCGTCTCGGAAAACCGACGGAATGCAGAGGGTACGTCGGCAATTTATTTTACATACATTGTCCAGATGCGAAAATTTTTGCATATAGTACACGTCCATCGAATCGGTGTGACGCCATTGTTTCGCTCGCAGCTCTATTAGTTCCAGCATATGAGCCCTGGTCGTCAGATTTAATTTATCGTTTTGACTTCCATTCCTGATCGCCACAAAAGCTTTGTCCAGCTGACCTAAAATGAAAATAAAAAAAAAAACAAAAAAAAAAACAAAATGATTACTGTCAATGTTGGTGAAATTTTTATGTGGAAAGTTGAAAATCCTTGATTTGTTGCGTAGTTACACTTGCACTAAAATTTCTATTTTAGTTTCTATTTCTTTAATTTCTATTTCTATTTTATTGCACAAGTATTGCATTTATATTACAAACATCTTATAATTATTCATTATAATTATTTAATTTAATTATAAATAATTCTTATAATTATTCATTATATATTGTAATTACCAGAATAAAAAAATCAACAAAAGATAGCATACCTTTGTAAATAGGTTCTAATTGGTTGGCATAGAGTTTCAGATGACTACACATGGAGATTATATTCATTTGCAGCGTTCGGTCATGGAAGCCATTATTCAGTTGCATTGCAACATTGTCGATTAAGGATACTATATCCTCTACTAAAAAAATACAAAAAGAACAAGGAATTCAATTATCTTTGAACTTGAGAAGGAACAAACTGATACGCATAAGAAGAAAAAACTTATATATTTGTGCGAAAGAGTCAGAAGTTCTTTTGTCTGTTGTTTTGTTTTGTTTGAAGAACTTTCTGAACCAGCAACATATTGATACAATAAATTAGACTGAAACAAAATATATTTGCTTTATTTTAACTTATCGTCCAGAAAGTAGTTTGAAAGAGAACAGGCCTTTTGATATCTTTACATAAAACTTGCCACTATAAATTTTACTCACAATGAAATATAAATAATGAAAAAAATTACCAGTCGTGATCCGCCCATCGACGGTCGAGTTACGCTGGTTTAGTTTAAGCGGCCGTGGTTTTTCGAGTTTCTTCACAGTTCTGGCTCTGTTCAGTTGTGCGGTAGCCATTGTAATCCTACAACAATAAAATGTCGCGCTCGATGTAATGCCAATTACACTTCCCACGACTCGAATATCTCCGCGATATTGACACACGTAACAATTAGAGCGCAGCAAATGTTTGCACTCCCCAGCGGCCAAGATTCCAAGCTACATCACTGCTTCTCGATGAACTCATTTCTATCGTGTGACGTTTTGTCAAAGCAGCAGGAAAGAGAGAAAGACAGAGAAAACAGCCGCGACGTCACTCGTTCCGCTCCAAATTGGCGTTTTCACTCGCGAAGTGACGGCGAATTATTTTGCCCAAGTCATCACAACGATAAAAATAATTTATGCAGCTGTCACACGAATGCCGAGAAAGAGATAATATAAGACATACGCCACTAAGTTAGACGAAGACAGCGCGAAGGAACAGTGGCGGGACCTTCGAATTTTTTGCCCTGCTCGCTGTCGAATTTAGCCTCGCTGTGCGAGAGACGAAAAGTCCCTCTATTCTGATCCCCAATGAGGATCCTCGGGATCCCAAAGCCTCGTAACTCCGTTTTAGCATCCGGCGATTCCGTCACTGCGGGAGAGCGGTCGAAAGAAAGGGGAGAACTGCGTAATTGGAGCGAGTGAGAGATGCATGCGGACGCGGAAAAAACGGGCGAATAACGCGTGAGAGACAGCTATTTATAAGGTAAACGTCGCGAAATGCACGGATTGACTCACACGACGAGGATTACCGCGTGCGCAAATATTTGTTCACTTGATAAACAGACGTGTTTCGTGTCGCGTCCGCGAGTAGGAAGCGACGAGTCGAATAAAGACAATAGAGAGGCGCGAGAGAAAGGGGTGACGTCGAGTGCGCGGGCGGAAGGGGAACGACGAGAGAGAGAGGGAGAAAGATGAGGAAGGCGAGAAAAGGGGATGGGAGGGGGAGGACAACACACTAATAACAGCGGAGAAATTATTTCTGACGTGTGTACGTGCGCGTATGTGTGCGTGCGAGAGCGCGTAAACAATCGCAAATAACCGCGACGCGGGTCGCAGAGGCGCGGGCGGACGGAACTTTCGCAGCGGCTCTTTCGCGGAATTCCAGATATGGAAATATCCGTGCGGCTAAATCGCGCCGCGGTATTGCGAGGTGACGGCGCGTGTCGCGAAGCACGTCGAGCCCCTCTCTTCCCCGCGACGTCGGGTAGCGCGCGCGGGCTCGGCGCGAACGTACCTCTCGCGAAGTCCACCGCTTCGTCGGCCGTGCAACGGATCAACGACACGCAGATCGTCCGGTTGAAATCGTGAAGATGTGTCGTCGACATACGCCGCGAAGCTATCCGAGTACCTCGAAATCCGTGGCGGTCAGTGCTGCCAACGCTGCGAACTGTCGCCCTCTAGACGCGCGCGAGAATTGATTCACCGTTTGGTACTCGCTCGAATATCATAAAAATGTTTACAGATATTCGAGCTCTTTGCGACAAGATATTCATACAGCGATAACAACTACGTAAATTGAAATAATTGCAGTCAATTTTTGCTTTCATTACTGACGACGAGGGCTGCGTTCGGGGAGACGCTATTCAGCGTTAGAGCCTCCGCACAAGAACATCCGTAACATGTTAAGTTCACGGATTTCTTTGTGCGTTGACTTATTTATGTTTAAGTTAAGTTTACGTACTGGTATGGTCATTGTATTGTCAGTTCTTAACGTAACGTAACATGTTGCGAATGTGCTTGTGCGTTGGCTCTTATGAGCGTTCTCTGTCCTTGTTCAATTTTTAGGAACAAACAAGGACAGAGCACATTCATAGCGCTAAATAGTGTCTCCCCCATGGACGTAAGAATATATGGACGGAGTGAATTGTCGCCGGGGTGAAGCCCAAAGGATGAGGGAAATGATTGTATGTATTGTAGTGGAATTACGGTACCAAAATGGCGACGGTCGCTGTTTTTATACACTGAAAATAAATATAAACTCCGGCACTAATATGGCCACGACGATGTAATCCTCTTGCCTTCTGGGCTTCACAACCCCTCGTTTATAATCGCACTTTTCGCTCCGTCCATGTATTCTTACACGTCCATGGTCCCCCGAATGCGGCCGAGATGATATTACCGACCGTTGGTCTTACGAGATTTAGTAGAAATTTCGCTATTTTAATATCCTACTGTCGATAAATTTGTCGGTAAAAAGGTATAAAATCAGTGTAGGTGATAATTACAAAAGTGCAGTATTATAAAAATATAAATAAAATAAATAAAAAGCAATTACAGTAAATGAAACACTCTAATTGGTTGATTCTTACGTTTACGACCACGCAATTGTAAAATGACCTTTACGAAAACCTGCGAAGAGTTTCTTGCACTAGTGTAGACAGTTCATCTAAAGAGGACGGATCGTGTGTGATTTAATTCTAACCTAATCTAACTACTGTTGATCCTGGTTATTCTTTACATTTCTCTGGGAGTTTCATTGAATTTCATTGAAGAAAGACGCAGACACACAGAGCAGAATGTCAATATTTGCTAGGCGAATTCTCCCATCGAACTGTAATAGTCTCATTTTGTTTTAATCATTGAAGTTTTTAGCATATATTATGTATGTACTATATCCGCGTGTTTCGCTGTTTGCAGTTTTGAAGGAGTGCTTACGACCTGTACGTAACACCTGTCCTCGACAGTTCACGACTCAGTCGCAGCCAAATGTGGAGGGTATGTAAGGACTGTCCTTATCATCGACCTATAGTATGGACTGCGCTATCTCTTACTTTGTTCGTATATGAAAAAGGGTCCAGAGAGTGAATGAGATAGCAAGTGAACTACCTCTGTCTCTATCTATGAATCTGATTGATACAGACTAAAAAAAGATATTGGCCGTGGACTTGTGCTGGCCTTGTCCCATACTGAGACTTACTTTTGATTTGCATTACACGGTCCATTCTATAGGCTGATGGTCTTTATAGTTTGGTGTCATTTGATCGTCATCTATTTGTTCATCTATTTCAGAGAGCTCAGAGGTTACGCTGGATCCTTTGACCCATCCAGACTTCTTCCAAGTGCATAATCTGTTTACTGTGAAGGATCTATATAACGCGAGGGTGCACTACGGTCACAAGGAGACCTCCATAAACAAGCACATGGAAACGTTCATATTTGGCTCCAGAATGGGACATCTGATCATCGACCTGGATCAGACCGCTGAACTGCTGCGACAAGCATTGAACTTCACTGCCCACATCGCATTCAGAGGCGGTATAATCTTGTTCGTCTCGAAGAATCCTCAAATCACCCATCTAGTGGACAAGACAGCCAGAGAGTGCAAAGAGTTCTCGCACACGAGATTCTGGAGGAAGGGCATATTCACGAATTCTACAAATCAGTTCAAAACTGTAACAAGGCTGCCCGATCTGTGTATCTTCATCAACACCCTCGATATCATGACTGAACACATGGGGATAATGAATGCGGCGAAGATGTGTATACCCTCCGTGGGTATAGTCGATACGAATTGCAATCCAAACCTCATAACGTATCCCATTCCTGGAAACGACGACTCCCTGTGCTCCCTAGAACTCTATTGCTCGCTGTTCAAAAAGGCTATTCTCAGAGGTAAGAAGGCGAGAGAGCAGCTCACGAAACTCGCGAGCTCCACGTAGATCTAGTGTAATCAATCCAGCTAAATGAATATCGTGTATAGAGTAATTGGCCAAAATATATCTCTTCTTTCTCTAACTCGAAAACGAGACTGAATAAGATGCTAATGAATGACAATACTTCATTCGTTTTGCATTATGTATATGACACATGTTGAGTGAAAAGATATCTTTGTGCATCAGACGTCATACAAGGCTCTTGGAAGCCACACACATACACAAACTCTATAATTTTCAATTAAATTTAAATTTGTTGTCAATTAAATGGAATGTAAATAAAATAAATTAAAAAAATTTCTTGTAAATTTGAATTTATGAAATGAATTCAATTTAATTTACTTAAATGTACATTTCTCTTGATCTTTGTGAAGATCATATGTATTGTGTTACCAAGATTAAGAGGACTGAAGGATCAGATTACCTGAAAATCGTGCTTATTTTTTCATGATTTTTTATGACAAACTGAATGAATATGCGAAAGTAATATTTTGACGTGTATTTGTACAACATATAAAGAGAAGAAAAATATAATTTAATGATTAAATACTCAATATAAGTGTATGGTGTAGTTAAAATGTATTTCGTTTTTCTTTTCAGTCGTCATTTTGCAGTAATATCTTGATTCTCGGTGACTCAATTAAGCTGAATTTTAAGTAGAAAATTTCTGTAAGCTTGTCGTTATCGGGTGAACCACTATAATAGAAATTGAGTAAAAGTTAACAAGATCGCAAATATCTTAATGGAATATTATTAAAATTTTCAGTTCTTTTATAGTAAAAAAATTAATATTTCAAAATTAAATATTTTCACGAGTTTGTCAGTAGTTCACCCGATAATGACAAACTTACGGAAATTTTCTACCTAAAATTCAGCTTAATTGAACCAACGAGAGTCAAGATATTACTCAAGATATTGCAAAATGACGACCTTGAAAAAAAAAACCAAAATATATTTTAACTGCATGTACCATACTTATATTGAGTATTTGATCATCAAAATTATATTTTTCTTCTCTTTTTATATGTTGTATAAATACGTCAAGGTAACACTTTCGCATATTCATTCAGTTTGTCATAAAAAACTGTGAAAAAACAAGCACTTTCAGGCAATTTAACCTTCCAGTTCCCTTAAAGTTTCAAATATAGTCGATTATTCAGCTTCTAAGAAGCTTATATATTGGTCTTTTAATTAAGTTTACTTACACAGTATCTTAAATGTATAAAGTCGGAAAACATCGAGGGAACTACCAATGAGCCGTACTTACACACTGATCTGTGTTTGATGGGGATCACTGCATAAATTACGCTTTCGTAATAATAATGAAAAATATATTGAGACACATGACATTTGACGTACATTGTTGAGTGATTTTATTATATGTAGTAAAAAAGTAATTATCGCAATATATGATCACTTCTTGTTATTCTCTTTCGTGGTGCCGTTATCACTCAATCTTGCGGCCTTCTCGTACCTTCATCAGGTATTTCGGACCGATGTTTGTCATCAACCTACGTGAGGCGAATGTCAAACTTAATTAGTATTCGACAATGACAGCGACACATGAATATGGCGAAATGTCACGTACCATCGCATAACATTTGGGAAGCAGTAGAATCCGTACAATAATCGCATCGTAGGTGTGTTGGCGATCCACACTTCCTTCATTTTATTCGCGATCGCGACGCTCATCAACACCGCACAACGTCTCGCGCTTATCTTACTGCGATCTACCGCCGTCTCCACGCCATATTTCTGAAAATTTCATGACATCCAATCAATTTTATTGTTTAATTAAATATCGGCTAAACGATCGTCGCGTATGCGCAATTTACGGTACATACTTGGCCGGGCGTGTCCGTGAAACATTCGGCTAGAAAATTGGTCTGCACTGGACCCGGGCAAGCTATGGTGACCTTGATATTCTTATCGCTGTGCTCTGTTAGCAATGCGTTAAAATAGCCCTGCAGATAAGTAATATTACAATGCCAATGCATATGTACGCAGTTTTTGAGCAAAGAAAAAATGTTTGGATCAAGTAGAAAATTAAAGTTCATAAGTGTTCATTGTTTAACAAATCATATCTGGCAGTCTGAAATGTTAAGTCATCGGAATAAATAATTCTCAGCCATGTTACTTATAAGAATAACATAAGAAAAAGTTCATTTCGGGATCCTCGTCGCAGAAGTACAACGGTCAATGTTGAAAAACATATATCACTGTATTGACTATCAATAGTGACAATAGAACAAAGTTTTTCTTGTTTTATTGCACTATTGCGTTCGTATATAGGCTCATAAATGTTAATCCATAAGACTTCGATAAATTTTTAGACTTACTTTTCTGGGGGGGATTGCATAATTGAGAACGTAACTGAATTAACGCGAATAATAATGATAATATTTTATAACGGGAAATTTTATCACGAAAGTTTATCACGAGATTGCAAAGTGTGCTTATAGAAATATTTACTTATAAGACTTATAGGAGTATTTACATGTAAGGCATGCTTGGCGCCGCAATAAGACGCCGACGATGGTATCGCTTGTATCCCCGCGATACTAGAGGTGACGACGATGTGACCTTTTCCCGTTTGCAGAAAATGTTTAACTGCCAATCTACTCAATGATAGGATGGAAAACACGTCCAAGTTGAACATGTCTTTGTCGACTTCAAGTTTGATGTTCTCCCATTGCGCTCTTTGACTGCGACCAGCATTATTTACCAGTATATCCAACTGAAACATGCGTCCAATGTGTAGAATGAGTTCACGTTTCAGAGTTCAACCGTTAATCGTTCATCTTTAGTGTTCATCGTTAATAATCATCCATAATTTTTCCAAGTTATCTATTAAATTATCAATATTCCAATTTATCTATATTTTTAAAAGTCACCATTCGAATAAGATATAAAAGCGCGTACCTCACCGAATTTGTTGATTACGTGTTGGAACGCTTCCTTATGAAAGTCAAAATTAAGTAGATCCAACGGATATGCTTCCACGTCGTCGTCATGCAAATTATTGTTTACTGAAAAACAAAAATGTTCACGTTTAGTGATAACGAGAACACGAGCGAGTTTGACAAGTTTTTATAATTAGCTTCGCAGCGCATCCCGATAAGAGAATTTGCCTTTTTATCAAGTAATAGCATAAGATAAATTTTGCCATTCGGCTGTCGGACACATCCTAAAATTCACCAAGAGAAAAACATCGCGCAAATTTAGCTGCTGACCAAATTTACTTTTATAAATACTTTTATAAAAGAAAAAACTAAAACCGAGGAAGATAAAATATGATATTAGTGTATCCTTCTTGACTTCTTTACGCGAGAGATTTCGGGTTTAGCACTCGCGGTAGACTTAAATATCTACATGATTTTAGTATATAAATAGTTTAATGAGAGTTCGACTTATTTTTTAATATTTTATGTGTATATATTTGATATAATTTTATATTTATAAGATAAGATTTTTCAGTTAAAAATTAACATTATTTTGATATCGGTATTATTTTGATGTCTCGATATTTGACTTTTGTCTACAGATTTATCAGATACCATCATCGGACTTTTTATACAGGGTGTCCGGTAACTGATTGAGCAACCGCCGTGTACAGGTAGAACAGGTCAAAATAATCATAAAAGATACATACCATTTTGAAATTTTCTCAATATTTATTCCGTAATTAACTAAAATGTATAAACGAATGAGTTCACGAGAAGCGGTAGGACAGGCTCTGTGTATAAAAAAATGGCTTAGCAACGATAAGTAAACAGCTGATTTCGAGACAGAGTAACAAGCGTAACGTATACGTTATTCCACCTCGAAATCAGCTATTTACTTATCGTTGCTAAGAGGTAAGCCATTTTTTTACATACAGAGCCTGTCCTATCACTTTTCGTGAGCTTATTCGTCTATACATTTTAATTAATTACGGAATAAATATTGAGAAAATTTCAAAATAGTATATAACTTTTATGATTATTTTGACCCGTACTCGGCGGTTGCTCGATCAATTATCGGACACCCTGTATATGCAACTTTTTATTGCTCAAAAATGCCAAAATTTCAATACAAATTCTGAATTGAAAACTTGCGACATTAACAATGCCGAAATAATATGTCGAATTATTTTCAGGCACATCTGAATCTTTGTTATATTATCTTATCTCTATATCGTATTTCATCTTATCTTACTCTCCAAGCAGTTTTTCTTCACGCGCTCTAATTCAGCAGTTCTGCGGGCGGATAGGATTAATTTACAGCCCGTTTCAGCCAACACGTATGCCAACTCCTCGCCGATACCGCTGGATGCGCCCACGATCCACACTTTCTTGCCTTTTAACGAGGCTGCGATAGCAAAAGCAAAATTAATAACGAATCATTGTCATTCAAACAGCGGAAGAAGAATTACTTCTCCGCTGTCTTTCGCACACCGGTACAAAAATACGATACTCACAAATGGGCTCGCCGAACTTCTCCTTAATGGCGAGCGCTAGATCGGAATCCAAAACAAAGGCACAGAAAACGTAGACGAAATAATAGAGTAGAATCAACAGACCGATAAGCGAAAGCACGTCCATATTTAGTCGCACAGCAATTCTAAATTATGTCTGCGAACAAAAGAGGAAAAAGTAGAGAAAAACAAGCGAATCTACGTGATTTATGAAGAATCTACATCATTTTTAAACACGCCTCAATTTTTTATCTCGATATCTCGAGATATCTCATATCTCGATATAAACTTTAAATATGTCGTGATTTGCACTTGTCACAACACATATAGTTTCGAATGCACTGAGTTTGCAAAAGCTCGTTGGATTTTCATCCTTATTTTTTTCAATAATAACGCAAAAAGGTTCATGCCACTTTCAGTCAAATTATCTGCTATCTTTATTTATCACTTTCTGCTTACGAAGATAGAAAAAAGGAACACTTTTATTTTGAAAACGTTTGTCATTCCGCGTGCCGGTATTGTGTGATTTTTGTTCACGTTATTCGAATTCTTACGACGAGAATATTTAGATTCTGCTGCGTCCGTATGTTACGTTACAAAATCCCCTACAACAGTGGCGTTTCCTTGAAATTCCATCAGTCCCGAATGTTCGCCGAGTGTTCTCGACGAAGTACTGACTAAACAAGAGATTCAAACTCCAATCACGACATAGCGTGAATCATCGTTAGCTGTCAGAGTACAAACCGTGTGGAAACTCACGACCACCGAGAGACTCTCCGATATGGTTGCTCGGTTCGACTGATTCCGTCTGACGATCACCGGAATCACGAAAGGTCATGGAAAGAATATGGCGAAATATTTATATTACATCACACACGCATGCGCACACACGATATATTCTACATTGGACGTACAACACACCCCAGACAGCACAAGAACTTCTGAGAACATTCCAGGGATATTCTGAGGATATTGAGACGTTCTCAGGACGTTCCCTGGATATCTGTACTGTTAGGGACGCTACCTCAAATATTCGGAAAGAATACTTTCAGCTGGATCTACCGCAGAAGCACGCGGCGAGGGAAGTCGCGTTCCGTCCCCGACGCTACACGTCTATCGTGGATCTCGTTTTCGTTCGATTTAACGCGCAAATTGGGGACCGGTTCCTCCTACTAGCCGGGAACATTCAACATGCTCTCTGTCGTTTCGCGTTAGCTGTCGAAAACTGGTATAAGCCAGTGCGTAGGGGAAGAGATAAATGTGCGACATTAATATGCGATTCCCGACTGTCCCAATATGGAATTGGTAGTCGAAGTTCAGCAGCTGCCGTTGCGCAGAGTGTCGCAGATGGCCACATCGACCCGCGACTGAGACGTGCGTTCAAAGTGGCGGCAACATTTGTAGGGAATTATGGAATACCCTATAGGTAGTCACGCTTGCGTGCTCCGCTCGCTCGTTTTTATTGCACGGGATAGGTAGATAATATTTGTTTGCATAAACAATGCCAAAATATTGTCTATATGTACACATGCGTGTTCTTACAAACATCGATGCTTTATATTTGCTTTAGGGTAACATGCATTTGCATATATATTCGGATTTTCGATCCGAGGAAAAAAAATAGTTGTCGCCCTATTCGCTTGCAAATTCTTTGAATGTTCGAAGTTTGAACGCTCTCATAATATGCACTTTACTATACTCTGCACTTTTAAAATGACTGGATGTTCGTTTTTCGTGATATGGAATTATTAATATTTGCGATAGCGCGAGTTTTACTTTATATATTGTAACTAATCACCGACCAAATGTTTATCAAGTAATTAAAAATTCTAATAAATGTATCCAACTCGCACGTGTTAAAATTGTAAAAAGAACGTGTTAAAACACATATAGTTTCGAATACACTGAGTTTGCAAAAGCTCGTTGAATTTTCATCCTTATTTTTTTCAATAATAACGCGAAACAGTTCATGCCACTTTCAGTCAAATTATCTGCCATCGTTATTTATCACTTTCTGCTTACGAAGATAGAAAAAAGGGACACTTTTATTTTGAAAACGTTTGTCATTCCGCGTGCCGGTATTGTGTGATTTTTGTTCACGTTATTCGAATTCTTACGACGAGAATATTTATATTCTGCTGCGTCCGTATGTTACGTTACAAAATCCTCTACAACAGTGGCGTTTCCTTGAAATTCCATCAGTCCCGAGTATTCGCCGAGTGTCCTCGACGAAGAAAAAGGACGTGTTAAAAGAAGGTGCATTAATTTTTTATATTTTAGTATCGCGTTCCAACATTCAAAAAGTTTGATGGCTGTTTCTTGCTACTTACGTAACTACATATGCAAAATTGTTTTTCAGAAATATTTATACAGATGCACACGAATTCAAATAGCATGCTTTACGTACGTACAACATACATTAATTACGCTTCAACGTTCAGTACAACTGTGTGCTCTCTAATTATTGTCCACACAAACGTCAAGTGGCTCTTATAGCAGAACGTATCAGCTCGTCGACACATATGATTCACACACAAACACGCCAAGGTTGTTATGTTTTAAACAAAATGCTCTTAAAACAAAAGTTTTAAATATGTTTTAAACGTTAGATAAATTTAAACATACGTTTTTTTAAAAACATGTTTTAAACATTTGTTTTATAAGAACATGTTTTATAAGAAAGTGAAAACAAATTTTAAATGCAAAATTATTAGTAATAATAATTTGATCTTTGGCAAAATATTTATTTTTATGTATTCTTGCATATTATATATAAATGTGTACATTAATGCACATTTTAATTATAATTACATATATGTATATCGAATATGAATATAATTGCGAAATCTTCGCAATTTTGCAAAAAATAGCAACCTGCTTCAGTCGTAACTTATATTACTTCACATTTTATATCTCTAGACACGTCGATATTGCACGAAAATATCAAATATAAGTAAACACTATATATATATATATGTCTCACACTCTCCTCCGGGCATTTTGTGGGGATGTAGAACAGGTTGAGGTAAACATAAAAGTCCTATACCGTTTTGCGATATTCGTAATAATTATCGAGATATTAATTGTAGAAAATTTATGAATGATCATGCAGGATATGGTAAGTGAGTTATAATAGCGACGATTGCCGTCGTGTACTTGTACTTTAGGTCAAATTGAATAAAAGAGTCCTCTACCATTTTGCAAATAATCACATAGATTTTTAATTACTAATTAAAGAAGATGAGTGCATTATCACGCAAAATCGTGCAATAATCTTATATCGTGCAATGATAATCTTCTTTAATTAATAATTAAAAATCTATGTGATTATTTGGAAAATGGTAGAGGACTTTTTTGTTCAATTTGACCTAAAGTATACACGACGGCAGTCGTCGCTACTATAACTCATTTACCATATTCTGCATGATCATTTACTAGTTTTCTACAATTAATATCTCGATAATTATTGTGAATATCGCAAAACGGTATAGGACTTTTATGTTCACTTCAACCTGTTCTACGTCCCCACAAAATGCCCGGAGAAGAGTGTGAGACACTCTATATATATCGAATAAAATATCGAATATTCCTAATACAAACTAGAATAAACTATACTAGAAGAAACAATATATTGATATTTGTTAAAATTTTATATAAATATCAGGAATAGGAACAATTGGTAGATTAAATATATGTTTTAATATAATATATTTTAACGCACTAAATGTTATTAATATATCCTTTCTTATAGAATAATTAAGAAAAACAGCTTCATTAATATGACGGCTTATTAGTTTGCTTCTTTTATATACCACACATTAAAATTATATAATGTGTATATACATGTATATATTAGATTTGGTTTCCGGGTTTGACGTTTCGCGAACATTCCAGTCCATTTCATTAGGGAGGAACAACTGATGGCATCGAGTCGGAATCAAACAAAGAATCCACGTGGCTCAAACCCGGAAACCAAATCTAATATGCATGGACCCCGCGAAAATCTAAAATACATGTCCCATATAGCACACAATGTTATATGAATATTCTTATGGAATACGAATATTCTTAATTTCAGAATATTCAAATGGAATGTTCAATAAACGTTCAATATACGTAAAATATTACAATTAGAGTCATATTTTCATAATGAAAAAGAACATGCTAAGAATATTCCTCGAAAGTGTATAGAATATTTGTCGAGAATATTTGTGGAATATTTTTCGAGAACAATTTTAGAATACTCGTTCCAAACTATTTTCGAATATTCATCGAATTTATATATTGCACATTGTTTATGGTGTAATACATGTCTTAATAACTTCTGAGAAAGATAGTGAAATCTGTGATTACATATAACCGACACATTACCCAGACAACACACAATATTTATGATAAAGATTCATAAATATTTATGTCGAATTATCTTTTAAGAATACTATACAAATATTTTAAAAATATTTTAGGTATACATAAAGGAAAAAAATATCAAAATCTTTTTCAAAATATTAAAATATAGACTAAATATTTTATGCTATATCTATAAAAATAATATATACATATATATATATATATATATATATATATGTTTCTAAAAAAAAAATATTTCTATAACATTTTATAAATAAGTAACATTTTATAAATATTTTAGGAACATAAAGGGAAAAAGTATCAAAATCTTTATTCAAAATATTATTAAAATATAGACTAAATATTTTGTACAATATTTATAATAAATAAAGAATAAATATTTGTAGTAATATTTCGTAAATGTTTCTATTAACAATTATTATACATGAAAAAAATAAATATAATTATTTATAACTATTAAACTAAAAAATAAAAAATTCGAAATTTAAATTGGTAATGTACACTGAAAAAATTCTTTAAATTAAAGAAATATAATTTGTTAAATATAATTTCTTAACTTAAAAAATATTTATTAGATTTTAGAACACATGTAATAAATATAACGTAATATTTTTTATCTGTAAGATGGTGTAAAATTATGAATTTCTAGATAAAAAATGATTTCTTTGATTTTTTAAAAATATCAGTATATAAGAATAAGTAAATGACTTCCTTACAAGAAGAGAATTAGTCTTTTTAATGTAAAAACTGTGTTTAAATAAATATTTGCTTGTTTTAAAAGTAAATGAAATACAAATAAATTTAAAAGTAATGAAATATAAGCAAATAATTTTATAAATCTAAATAAATTATTTTGTAATATTAAATGTATCTTTTTCTGTATCAAATTAAAGTTTCTTTTATTATCAGAAAACAATTTATTTAAATTTACAAAATGATTCAGTTGCATTTTACTTTTAAAACAAATATTTTTTAAATATATTTTTTACATACATGTTACACATAATTTTTACATACTTGTTACCTATACTCGTTATTTCTCTATTATTGTTGCTTTTTTATAAGAAGTATGTAATACAATTTAAAAAATAAAAATTGTTTTTTATTGTCTGTATGTGTACAATTATGCATAATATAATTATCTTGACTCCTGTCGGAGTTTTACATGGTGTGTATATGAAATTGCCCCATTTAATAGCGTATATATGGCCCTTGATAGAATTAAATAGCCTACTCAAGTAGGAATTTACTACTAGCATCAAAGTGATCCAGTACTAATTTATGGTAAACTTACTGGCATAATACCAGATACCAGTACGGTTTTCGTATTGGTGTGATACTGGGATGATAGAAAAGGACCAGTATCGGAAAATAGTACTGTCACAGTATCGAAAATCAGTACAGTACCAGTATAAAAAAATATTGATTCCTAGTACTGGGGAAGTACCTATTCCCAGTACCGAGTCAGTATCGATTTGTAGTAATTTTTATTATTTGTACAATTGTTAATATCACAACTATTGTATTTAGTTATAATATATATGGAAAGAAAGATCAGATCATATGCCATCCCACCATATGCCATCCCTGGTAACAATTTTTCATACAATTTCTTATATTATTGTTTTTAATGTCATTATGTCATTAAATCTGAACGATTTAACCATCATGCAATAAGTACTGAAGACAGCAGCACCGAATAAATTATTAGTCTCGCCATGTAACTTTTACAGAATTTTTGTGATTTTGTGTTTATTTGAAAATATATCATGCTTCGATTTTGATAAAATTTAATACAATCTGAATTGGACGATCGATCAAATTAATTCGTACATGTAAAAGCATAGTATTTTATTAGCATGATGGAAAAATGTCATTATCTGCTGTTTTATTGTAGTAATTTTCTATACAATCTCTGGTAGAAAATTAATTTCGAATTATCGTACCGGTCTCTCTTACATTATTTATACGCTAAACGGTTTCGCCTATATTTTGCGATTTAAAAGGCGAACAAACTCTAAGATTTTTCTTCCTTAAACTAAGTGGGCAATACAAAGCACTTTTTTATAAAGTGAGGAGTGTCTAAGACGACGGACGATTATCCAAAAAATATCTTCGGTTCAAGTTTGAATCTCACCAGAGAAAATCTTAAAAATTATGAAAAAATAATATAGAAAAACTTTTTTTTTATTGTATTTTATAAGTATTTATGAGTATTTATGAGAAAGTGCTGATTCTATGAGTAATTATGAAAAATTATGAGAAAATTTTCTACCAAAAATTTAATTGAAGAATCTACGAAACGACAGGATCTGCGCGCAATCTGCCGTCAGAGTCTGTCGGCAGGCTCTACGCACAGTTTTCCGCCAATCTGATGTCAGAGTCTGCTCGAATTCGACAGATCCTGTTGCCAATCTGATGTCAGTTTGCGTATAGATTGCTTATTGAGTGATGTTTTTTCTTCTAAAATGGAATTATTGGAATTAAATATTCTAATAATAGTAACCAATTTTGATGGTTTTTCTGTCGCTAGTTTATTTCGCAATTTAGAAACTAAACCAAAGGTAGAAAATAATCTTTCGATACCTGCAGACGGAACAACAGCTGTATGTAACTGTGTAGACAAGTCGAACATAACGTTATTTATGCAATTTTGAAGAGCACGCCACTATGATAGTGGAGTAACATTTTCTATATTTTGAGAACAGAATAAATATTTTCTAAATAGTGAAGACTTTGACTGATATTTTATTATAAATGGCATAACTTCAGGATAATTTGCAACTGCATATTCTAGAGCAAATTCTAATTGGTTTTGGCTCAATTTTTGACTTCTAAAACGATGATCTAATAAATTTGCCAGATAATAATGGAGGTGTCATTGCCATATCAAAACGGTTCCTAAAGCACTTTATTTCTAATTGAGTAAATGTTTCTTCTTCAATATTTTGCAATAAATTTAACCATATCTCTGTAGCCTCACTAATAGTGTACGTTTCATTCTAAATTCTATTTAACGCAACGGAAATTTTATGCAATTTAAGTACGTAATTCTGTAAATTAATTTTGAGATCAAGACTTTCAACTTTAGTACATATTTCTACATCAATTGCAGCACGATTTTCCATATATATCTTTGCTAAAGTATGGCAATTTTTTAGATACGATTCAAAACAATTGCATAGGATATTCCAACGAACATCTGAGGTAAAGTGAGTGAGTCACCTTCTTGTTTATATTTAGATGCTGCATAATGAGTATATTTAAAATATTTTATTACTTTTTTTACATTTTCTCTAAGTTCTGGTACGTCGATATCTTTTGCTAACAAATGTAAAATATGCGCTGAACCACGTATGTTATTATATTTAGCATAGCTATTTACATTGTGAAAGTTGGCTTCGCATTTTTGCCATATTACTTGCATTATTAGTCACAAAACTTCTAATAGAGCAACCAAATTTTTGACAATTTTTTATTGCTGTGATAGCTAAATTTAATAAGTAATCTGCAGTGTGCTGCAATGTGCAGTGTACTGTTTTCAGCAGTATTTATTGTATCTATCAAATGAATATTTCCTTCTAATACGTCAGATTATTGAGATACAAATTAATGGCTCGACATAAAGGTTACTCCAACCATTCAATGCCATACAGACTATTTTACCTTTTAAATTTTTTTCTATGCTTTGCTTTATAGAATTAAAAACTTTATCTAATAATTCATTAGCAATTTGATAACGACTTGGTGATTTATACCTCTGGCGTAGAAGATTAATCAGTTTTTTAAATTCTTTATTCTTTTTAATTGTAACGAAATTGTAATTTCGTAACAAATAACGAGATACTTCCCAACTCTAGGTCTATTTTCTGCTTTGGAACATTTGAAATATCGGAAGTAAAGTGTTTAAGCTATATTACAAAAAGCTATATTACAATAAAAGACATGTTTAAAAGATGTTTAAAACATATTTTTTTCTACACTTGCACTTCTGCACTTTAAAACATGTTTAAAACTTAAAAAACATGTTTTAAACAAAAAATACATAAATGTTTTGTTTTTTCTTTTTAAACATGTTTTTTGGCAACTTTAACACATGCTCGCTCTATTTCGAGAGGACAGAGCTGAAGTAACGACGACTATTTAAATAGTGAAACGCTCCGTTAAAGTCTGTTTGATTAGCTTCTAGACGCTCTTCTAATCCGATGGAAATACAAGTACTCCTGAAATAATATAAGAATTAGATGCAATTTGCAACATGAATAAATGCGCGTATTTCGAAAAAATCGCTCAGCTTTAAGGAAGTCACAGCGACCATTATCAAATACATAAAGATATTCTTCTTTACGCGCTTACTAGCAAGAACGATGCGCCCAAGAGCAGGCTCTTCAGCTTCACATCGGTGTCTATTGGGAATGTGAGCTGCAAAATGTAATCAACATTCAAGTGATCCCAATGGTGTATCAAGGACGCGAGTTGGTGTGTTTCATCCATTGACACGACCTGAAATCGAAGATGAAAAATGAACAAACGAGAGACATCACTGTTTCAGTAGAAGCATCCATTTGGTTTTAGATTGCAGTAATAACATATTATTTGACGGTTGAGTCATTACCTGAAATAATGCCTCCTTGTACATGCAACAGCCACAGATGTTAGGTCCGTAGATTTTGCAGAGCGGCGTCTTAGATGCGTCGTAGACCGTGAATTTCGGCCCTATCACACTGAAATTCTCCTCCACGCTGCCAATGAGATTCGCGCTTTCCACCGTGATTCTCTGCTCGACACCACGCGTCTTGCGTTAAAGACTTGCGAGTTATTATATCATGCGCGAAGGAATGTGAACGGACTCACTTGTTACGTCTCTTATTTCTATTTAGTCCTTTTATATATATATATATATATATATATGTGTGTGTGTGCTTGTGTGTGTGTGTGTGTGTGTGTATATATATTTCTATATATATACAGATATATATGTTTTCTATATATGTGGATCTATATATGTATATATATGTGTGTGTGTGTGTGTGTGTGTGTGTGTGTCGCGTTTACGAAAAAATCGGGTGACCCGGGTGATCTGAAACACCCTGTGCATTAGTAATAACCAACGATTAATTACGCTTGTTCCGCCCATTATCAAGCGCGATTTTTATATAGTGAATAAAAAACTGTTCGCGCATTCTACTTCTCTTGTACAGATAAATATTCGTAGAGTAAAACTTAAAGAAATACGAATTTAGTTGTGGTTTTACACAAAAAAAGCAAGATATCTCAATTACTCCTCAATAAAGATTTTTATATACAAATACTTATTTAGAAACAGAAAATTAATGAAGAAATTATGAGGTTCAAAAATGTTTCGAGATGCGCATCACCGGTCAGTAGTTTTATTAGCGCGTTAACGGACATCAATCGGGGTAGATTATTAATTGTTATTAACCCTTTCAGGACGGGGGATTGCTCGAGAAGATAATTATAGGGAAGTACGTATTCTATGAGTTTTTAGGGTCGTAGTATCCGAATCTGAAGATCTTAGATTTTTAAAATTCTGTGATCCAAGATGACGGACCCAATATGGCAAAAAAAAAATGATAAATAATATAAATATCACTCAATTTCCGTAAAATTTGAACTATGAAACTTTTTAAAGATACTTTTTTAAGAACTGAAATCGAATAATTGAAATTCAAAATGCCGACCAAGGAAAAAATTTTTAGATCTGTGTGGTACTGATGAGCTCCAAGAAGAGCGAAACTGGAAATCATTCAAGATTTTCACTAATTCAAATTTAGAGTGTGAAGTTCCACGGAAATTAGGTCATATTTATATAATTTGGCACCTTGAAAATCGCCATATTTGATCCACTATTTTGAATTTTGTATTTTTTATTTCAAATTTGGAAAGAGCACCCCAAAAAACCTCTACATACTAATTTTTATGAATATTGGATCAATAGTTTCTGAAATACATGCATGAAGGCCGTAGAGCCTTCAAAAGATGTCTCCCGTCCTGAAAGGATTAACGAGGACTCATATTATAATTGAACTCAACTTTCATCTACTCTTGTATCTGGTCAATCAAAGAGTTTGGTTCGATCTTTGTGTAAGAAAAGAAAAGTAAAATTCTCTGAAAAGAAGATAAAATTATTTGTTGAGAGTGATGGTCTTGAAAGTGTCTCCTTATACACAGACGTTATCAGCATTGTTGTCTATATCAGGTGTACATGACGTCATCTATTGAAAATCGAACCGAATCTGCTGACTGACCCAATGGATACGCGATACCCGAAAGAAAAGACACCGACTGCGACGCTTCGTTTATTCGCGCGTACGTAAACTTGCCTGTCGCGATCCGGGCACGTGCATCCAGCTCGGATCCTTCCTGATCACGAATGCAGTCTCGCCGCATTGATCCAAGACATTCAGCACGAATCCCTTATACCAGCCGCAGAGCCTGGACGTGGTCTCATGCCTGGCCTCCATGGCGAGGAAGAGGGTCTCCGCTCGAGGTACTTTCACCCTGTACTGATTCCCTCTGTCCGTTCTGCCGAGCACTGTGGAGTAAGCACAAAATCATTGACCAACATTATTGAGGCGACATTTACATATCTAATAATATGTAATGTTTCCAATGTGCGTATATGAAAAAGCATGTTTATATAGTACTTTCCATAAGTTTGAAAACATAAATAAAAATAAAAATAAAGATATTAATAAAACATAAATAAAAATAAAAATAAAGATATTAAAATGGGTATTTTATAATAATTTTATTGCGCACTATCTTTAGAAGATCGGCATTTATGTCATTTAATAGAAATTTCAAGTTTAAGAATCCATTTTCTGTATTGTGTGCATATATTCTATATGCTGTGAGATGAAGTTTAATGGACTCATGAGTAACTAAAGTCAAAATGCTCAATTTTACTTTAACCCTTAGTAATACGGAAACACAAACTTGTAGAGAAATTTTTTCGAGTAAAATATATAGAAAACTTCAATCTTTTACACGAAACTAAAAATTTTCTCAGATTTTTTCTTGCGTTTATTTCTCAAATTGAGAAGAAAATTTTCTATTTTGTCCATTTCGTTTTCATAAAAGCCAAATTATACTAGCGATTGGCGATTGACGATTGGAACTGGACCAATTGGAACAAAGCAAACCAAGTCTGAAGCTCGTTGATTCGTCAAAATTTAATCGTCAATCGCCAATCACTAGTATAATGTAGTCTTTATGAAAACGAAATGGACAAAATGGAAAAATCTCTTCTCAATTTGAGACATGCCACGAACGCAAGAAAAAAATCTGAGAAAATTTTAATTTCTTCCGTGTAAAAGATTGAAGTTTTCTATGCAATTTACATTCTGAAAAAATTTCTCTACAATTTTGTGTTTCCATATTACTAGGGGTTAAAATAGAATCGAGCATTTTGAATCCAGTTGCTCATGACTCCATTAAACTTCATTGCACAGCAATACAGAAAGTGGATTTGTAAACTTGAAACTTCGCTCTATCAAATGACATAAATGCCGATCTTGTAAAGGTAAATGCGAAACAAAATTATAATAAAATATCAATTTTAATATCCTTATTTTTACCTTTATGTTTCCAAACTTATGGAGGGTACTGTACATGTATATAAGAAAGATAAATATATACAGAGAGAAATAAATAAAAGAACAATTGGACTGTCAGGGAATCAATTTTGTTTAAATTAAATCAAACACTTTCCCTTTTCTTCATGTAAGACAGGAGGTTCGTGCGTCATGCGCTAAATACGTACAAGTACTCAAATCAATAACTTGCTGAATTTCCAGCTGCTCGACGCCGGCTAGGAACTGCGTGCCGGTGATCGAGTTTAATTGCGCTCTGGGGGTGGAGATCCATTCTAAGGTGTTCACGGGAATGGGCCTTCGAGCAGTTCGACTGCTACCTGCTGAAAAAAGATGACGGTTATTCGCTCGAATAATCAAAAGACGAGGGTCGCTTTTGTCGACGCTCGTTATCGCCATCGGGGGATTTCATCGTGTCACCGTAACGTGACCTCGAGTTAGTTGAGTCCAACGAACACGCCGTGGAGTACAAGGATTTCGGTCCAAGTCGCGATTTCCCTTCTTTCTTACTTATCGGTGTCGTCTTCTCCAACGCGCGTCAGGAAACGCGCGATATTTTTACCTTCTGGCTGCATCGTGATGATCGTCGCGCTGGAGTAAAAGACAGGCGCGTTCTCCTGCAGCTCCATCGCCTGCAACACCGTGTCCGTCGAATCTGAAAGAATTCGGCAAAAGCCGCGTTTACAAATTGACACTTGAGGGATGAAACGTTGCGTGATCGTGTTTAATTCTTTTATCAGATACCAGTCATGATCTCTTGATTCAAGAATGAGCCGTGAACTTCGTACAGTAACTCCGCTTCATAATTGGTTGCGCTGCCGCGACGCATGGACGTTGCCAGGATGGACGTCTGTTGTCTCGAGAAGAACAAACGATTAGAGATTCAAACCTCGATTTATTACCTCTCGCCGGCGACTCGCACACACGCGATTCGTGCATTACGCGCATTTAGCGCAAATAAAAAAAGCCCAATACTGACCTGAACCAACCCGCGTCGGAGGAGCAAAAAGATACACTACACTGATACTACGCTGTCGATCGAGTCTCTCGTTCAGGCTCGTCGCTTGTCCATAACGGCTTAATTTTTGCCGTCTATCTCGTTATCTGCCGATAAATCGTTCGTTTATCGCCGGTTCGCGGATAAGCGCTATCACGTAGATATCTTTTTGTTCGAACGCGCGACAAAAGTGCTGATCCCACAGCGAGAAAAGTTCACTCAAAGATCGCCCGCACACAAAAGTGCACTCGCCTGCAAACAAGAAAGTATTTTTCTTTCGTAATTTCCAAAGCACATGCGATTATTTTAATGTATTCCTTATCGTTCTTTATAACGGAATGTTGCAGTAATTAACTACTGAGATTTGGAAGATTCACAAGTTTTTTGAAAACTAGATACACATATTTGTACACTCGCATCACATATACGCCTTGAAATTATAATTTGGATTAAGTTAAAAGTATCAATACTTGAACACTAATACACTAATAACACTAATAAATGTTTAAACTTCTAACATAAAAAAAAAATATATATATATATATTAAAAGAAAGATATATATATTTCTTTTAATATTGACAAAGTTTAAGTATTCGTATTTAAAGACCAAAACAATAAGAATGTCCAGAGTCAGCTACCACTATTATCAGTGTCCAGACATTGGTATTTTTAATTTATTACTTTATTAGTAATAAGTAGGTAGGAAATAGGAAAGTAGGTAATAATATTAGGAAATTAGTCGTATACGAAATAAGTTGTATATGACTTTCACACACACACAACATATACGCGCATATAAGTAAGCTTGAAAACCGTGAAAGACTGAAACAAATTGTGTTTACGTAGATTTACGCTCGAGAAAACTTTCTGTGCTAAAGTATTGAATAAATTATACTTCAATAATAATATAAACAAAACAATGTTGAGACGACGCGGTGTACAGAGCATAAAAATATATTTGCATACCTCACCCTTTCCGGCATAAATTTACATAAAGGAGAGAAATGTCATCGCGAGGCGTCTTTATCGGAATACACTGCTTTCGTTTACCAACGTATCGAACGGGAAAAAGAAAAAGAGCACGTTGCAGCGATATTTTTCGCATGGGATTATCCCAAAAGCGATGAGGTGTGCGAATATTCTATCCTCACTCGCACTTGTGTGCGCTGAAGAATGCTTATTAACATAATTACATGTTTATTACATATAATCACATTTGTGTTATGCAAATACTTTCGCCAAAGTGTTTCCTTATAGATGTACAACTGCAAATTAAAAGCGTAAACGAATGTACAAAGATGCTGGCTGCGTCGTAATTACGTTTGATAGATAATTCCGCGGGTTATTTTCTCGTAAATGAAAAATGCATGACCCGCATCGGAGAATCTCGCGCACATCGATAGGGCAGCGGAATATTCGAAATGACTTAGGCACGCTCTGGATAACGATTCGGAGAGTTTTTCATTCGCCTTTCGCTCCCGTCGCGCCGATTAATTTACGCAATAAATTTTCGCAATAACATCGTCACGTCTTTCCCTCCCCGCGATTAACTTCACGCGAATCGCGATATTTCCGTTATCGACGGCATCTTCTTGTTTCTTCGTATATCGTGATAAGGCTTCCATTCTATTTATCTAAAGTTAAAGCACACTCGACGACGAGCATCGTTCGCATTACAATTGCGTCATATATATATATATATATATAT